GGAGGCGTAATTTTCGAGGAATTACTCCTTGTTGTACAGAAGCAGCCTGTATCCCTTAACTTTGAACCCACTTTTGATCACGGGGAAAACGATAAAGTTAGGCAAACAATAGAAGAGGCTTCTCCCGAGGTTGTGGAAAAGAGGCCTGTGTCACTTCACATGGAGCACTTGTATGGCGAAGGAGAAAGCCACGACATTCGGGAACCAGTAGAAGAAGCATCCACCACTGTAGTAGAGTCGGAGCCTCGGTCGCTCTCGTTCCATCCTATTTTAGAAGAGGCTGAAGAACCGGTAAAGCAAAAAAATGGTGATGCTATTTCACCCGAACTACCTGGGGAACCTAAAAAAGACGAAGAAATGGACATTAAAGATCTGGAATCAATACAAGAAACTCACGTCGTAGCAGTGGAAACAGCACCGCAGTCATTTGATTATCATCCAATGCTCGAGGTGAAGGAGGAAATACAAGAGGAGGATAAGGCCTTTGATGAAAATTCTCTGAAACTTGCTTGCAGATCTGAAGAAGGAGAAGAAAGACACGCCGGACAATCAACAGAAATAGAGGAAGCTATAGCAGAAGAATCTCCCCTCGTTATAGAAAAAAGACCTGTTTCACCTGACATGGAGGCGGTGTTCGACGGTAGGGACGACGAAGGAAAGAAACCGGTGGAAGACGCCCTACAAATTCTGACAAAAGAAAAGGCAACAGAACAAAAAGAACCAGTCACAGAAGCGCAGCTTGTAGTGGTAGAGAGGAAAACTGCTTCAACTCAGCCAAAGGTGCTGCTCGATCATGAAACTCCTGGTGATGAGTTCGTAGACGTGGCAGAGGAAGACAACGAAGCCACGGTGGAGTCCTTGCTCAGTAATATTGAATCGATAATCGAAAAGCCATCTTCAGGACAACCATACAGTAAAGAAGTGGAATTAGCACCAACGAGCGACAAAGAACCCGTCGAGGAAGAGGCAGTTTTCAAGATTGAGAAGAGGGGAGCTTCACTCAACATGGGGTCACCCCTTGATCCTGAAATCTTTGGAGAACAATTCCAAGAAACGTATCCTGATACACAAGAAAAGCAAGACATTGTCGACGAAGTTGTTACAGTTATAGTTCAAAAGAAACCCGTTTCTCATGCTTTTTATGACGAGCAGGAAGGTGACACCCAAGAAACAGAATCCTTTTCTAAGGACGAGCCTCCGTCGGTTGTTGTGTTAGACATACCTCAAGTAGAGAAAAGGAAGGAATGCGAGGACTCCGTAAAAGAAATAGCTGCCCCTGTTGTACAGAAGAATGAAGTTGAGTTTTATCCTGATCTTTTAGTGCTAGAGGGAGAGGAAGAACAAAAACAAAAGGAATTTGACGTGGCACACAGCAAGCAAGCAGTAAACAAAAATTGGCAAGACACTAAGCCGACCGAATTCATCACGACCACAAAATCGGTTGTAACGTCAATAGAAAGTACTGATGAACAATCTGCAAACGACAGTGAAACCATTGTAACCAAAACGGTTTACGAGAAAAAGACTTTCGAGGTAGCCAGCAGTTCAACTAATTCTCTTCCTGACACGGTCACAACAGAAGAAATGCTCTCATCAACTTCTTATACCAAGCAGTTTCATGAGGGGAACATGGATGGCGAGGTGGAACTAATCCGTTACGTGCTTCGGAAGAGGCTCTCAGCTCCCGAAATATTACCCGAGAAAGAAAGCGAAGGTTCTGCACCTTTGGCTGCATCGGAGGATCGTGGAATTCTTGAGTCTCAGGAGCAGTTTAACGTGATGGAAAGTCCTCGGAAAGTTAAGGAGTCTTCGCTGCCAAACAGAACACAGGGCGAAGACGAATCTGAGATGGAACCTTATACAGATATTCCCTATGAAGAGAAGCTTATTCCGGATTCTCTGGGAGAGGCACAACCTCAAGTTGCTGATTCGGTGGAGAAGGAAGAAGGTGCCGATGAAACATTACCTGTGCTAATGCTGTTAACGCCTGAGACGGCAGGAGAAGAAAAGAAAAGTACAAAAGCGAAGAAAGGTGGGCTTTCATCGCCACAATGCAAGTGTTGCTCAGTGATGTAGATTTGACGAACGGTAGATGCAGCTAATAGCAAAAGCCTCTTGTAACTTAAAGAGCTTATCAAAGCCTACGTCAAGGAATACTAACTGTGTGAAAAATGCGTCTTTAGTTAGATGCATGTCATTGATAAAAGAACACGGTCGTATTAACTACCCTTAGCGAGTAGTGAAAATAATGAATTTATACTTTTATCAGCTAGTTTAGTGCTGTGACGCACAATTGACGCTTTGTCTTCTTTATGTGTTTGGCATAGTTCCGTTCTTGAACTAGAAATTTGCTAAGTACTTTATACGGTATTCTTTAGACTGTAGAGGAGATATGCACAGTTATAAAACAACAAATATCGTTGTTTTGACTGAGTCGAGACACCTCAACCAAATTCGATGTATTTTTTTTCTTTCTTTTCTAATTCATTTCCGGTTAACCAAGGTTCAATAGCGACTTTGCAGCCTCTATCGTTTAAGATTTAAGACGGAAAACAGCGGCTGTGAAAATATTTGGCGCGCTGAATTCGGAAATTTCTCTTGCACTCTTTATTTTCTCCTTATAGGGGCGAGGAAACGTCACGTTTCTCTGCCAAAAGACTTCAGTCTTGAGGTTGCTTTTTTTTCATAGTTTCTTGAAACGAGCGGTATTTTTTTTTTACCTGTTTTTCCCTTGGAAGAAGAATTAGTTTTATTTGTTCCTAGACGTGTAAACGGGTTAGCTATTATTACTTGCAAGTGAACTCTAAGAATAAGAGAATAAGATTGTTTTTTTTTATTAAATAAATATTTTTCAATTAAGCACACTTCCATCTCTTTCCTTCCAACACAAACTTGAAGAGCCTGACAAAGAAAAAAACCGAAGGCTCATGTAACCAATGAGCTAACGAACAAACAAATGAAGGGTTATTGTAAAAAACATTTCAAAATGCAAAGCAAGTACAAACCTATATCGAAATATGCCATCATTGTCGTTGTGCAGGTAAACTGAGCAAGTTTATGTAACTTCTTTCAAAGATGTAAATGATTGTCTGACTTTGGAAATTAATCTCTTTTTTAACTTTTTAAGCTTTACTTCTTGTTTTCACTAGCTCTCTCTGAGCCTCGATCTTGCGCAGCTGTATTTAAAGGTTAAAAGATAAGTGTGGAATCTAACTGTTGATGGAATGACTAAGACATAACGCACATACTTATAAAAAAAATAGCCTCCATTTGGCACGAAAATATGCTTAGATATTTGTCCGCAGACATTACCATTGGTGCAAGCATACCCCAATACCCTGATCTGATTGGAGCGAAATGCATGTCAAAGATACCCTATCGCTGTGATCCGTTTGGTGAGAGATACATACGCTATTGCTGTGATCTGATCGGTGCGAGATACCTGCCCTAATTCTGTGATCTGATTGGTGCGTGATGCCTGCCCTGATGCTGTGATCTGACTAGTGCGAGATACCTACCCGTAATGCTGTGATCTGAGCTGGTTTGTGCTAGATACTACCCGGCCTATTGCTGTGATCTGGTTGGTTCGAAATACATACCCTAATGCTGTGATCTGGTTAGCGCACGACCTAGCAGTTGGAAATGGCCCTTCGCAAGTTTGCTATGATCAAAGCACATTTAATTGAACGAAAATTGGACACTTTGTTTGGAATATAGCTTCTTCGAATCGTTTCCAGAGTACGAGTGATTTAGAATGTAAAGTTAAGATTTAGTAATGATCGATTGAACGTCGTACTTTGCGAAAACAAAGAAAGTCATATTTCTACGAGAAACCATACAGATGACTGTCATTAAGTAGAAAACATTAAATAAAAAAATATGTTTGTCTTGATCACTCACTGTCTCCAAGGAGCATTGAAAAAGAGTTTGCACTTAAAAAAAACAGATAAATTCGCGATAGAGAGAAAACTGTAAAACAAAAGTTTTGTAAGGGGGTCTAAATCAGTGACAGGGGTCCATAACCACCCGGGGATTTCGGGGGTCCATATCCGACAGGGAGTTTGAGCCGAGGGGTTTATGTACGCGGGGGGATTTGGACCGGAGTATCCGAATTCTCCGAGACACCGGTATTAATTCCGCACAACCTCATACTTCATGATGAATTCAGTTCTTGGATAAAGAAAACAATGCCGAAAACAATCAATTAGCTTTGGGATGGGGTGATACTTACATCTTTCCCTGGCGAAGAAACGAATAAATTATATTTGCAAAAGTTCGCCTTTAACTTCAAAGATGGTGGAAGGTGATCACGATTTCCTTGAAGTGGCACGTTCATTTCGTTTCGTCGCAAGTATAAACACTCTTTTCCGACAAATGAGTGGCAAATGCAGCAATATATACTTTGTCCACCGCTTCCTGGGGAATATGTAGTTCTTTAAAACACCGTTATGGCAAACCTTATGACATAGAAATGCAAGAAACCGGATGTTTTTCGTAACGTAGTAGTGCCCAGGTCATGCTTTAATTCAACAAAAGTCCACCATTTGATTATCAGGTAAAAATTCTCGAGGCGACCAGTGGTGGTATATATTGAAGGTATCAAGGTTATGTCCTTATTTCATTATGATTTCCAGTGAATTTTAGAGGGGTCGAGAAGGGAAGTCAGTAAGGACATTAGGAGTTTGTGTTTTGTCAAAGCCTTTTTGTCATTACCCTGATGACAACAATGGAAAGATATTAACCGTTAGCCGTAAATTGCCAAAATTTTAACCGTTTGCCGTAAAAGCAATCACCCGCTATGGTCCTCCTATAATGGTAGCATGCACCAAATGGAAACCAAGTATGGAAAAGCATTTTTACTTGGAAAGGCGCAAAACAAATGGACAGTGGCGAAAAACTTCTCAACCATGACAAGCCATAATCATTGCACTAAAGCCATCCGATTCTCTCTCGTTTATTCATAAGAAAAAGAATTTTATCGAATAGGGCAAGGAACATCGTCAAATTTGGGCTCCATCTTCAAATTGAGAGGTGTTGTCCACTCTCTCAGGACCGTGGGACAAAGAAGAATCTGGGCCCTCTGTCGAACCCGGACGATAATACCCTTTAATTAATTCAAAATTGAAGAGATTCAAATCGAATATTGCGAAGGGGGAGGGGGTTGAGGAAGGTCCACTGAGACTCTAAGGGCCCGAGAGTTGTAATGAGAAGATTGCTCCCTCACCTATTCTGTACCATCCCCTTTCCTAACGCAGAGCAAAAGTTAACAACTTTTTACAACATTTTAATATATTTACACTTAATGTCAAAGCACGAATGCTTAGAAAATACATTCATTTATTTATAGAAGGTAAGCATACCTTCTCTACAATAAAATTCAATATCATCTCAATTGCATGCAAAAATTTCAATGAAAAAAATAAATGTCTTATATCGTCACACTTCTTTCACTTTGCAAATATGTTGTTTTGATAGTTCTCCTGCTAAACTTTAAACACTGCAGAGAAGGATCGAAACGATATTAGGTGATCCGTGTGCTGAGAGTTTCCGCATGGTGAGGTCAACTTTAGCGGTAATACTGACGCGATCGAAGTGTTGATCTCCCCTTGCTTCAAAACGTTCCTCCATCCTGGAGTCATTCACCCTGTAATGAGAGGAAAGAAACACTTTCATTAAATTTAATTCCACTAAATTACCCATTGATAGATGACAGGGAAAAGGTTGGCGAAAGTTTAGAAATACCTCAAAAGTAAGGCGTTATAATTATCCCGTTATTATGGCGTTAGTGTTAGGGTGCCTCAGGACCCCAGACCCATTTTTTGACAGTTTATATATACACCAAATTTTTCAAGTTTGCTTGTTTCTACTTAGCTTGGTGGTAGAACCGCAAAGGAATATCCTCGAGACAAAAAAGTTGGGCCAAAAGCGTCCCTATCCGCCAGCGAAAATCTTTGTCGAGTTTCTTTTCACCACCAACCCCCTTTCAACAGTCAGACTTCTTTATACGGTCAACTTTTTTGAGTTAACAGCGATAAAAATTGAAGTAAAAGGTAGATTCTGAAACAGTTGTAGCTTTACCTAAAACTACGCTATAATGATAATGAATATTACTGACCATATATTCATAGTGTCTCCTTGACTACTGGCTGCCACATCACTTTCATCATCCAAAAACATTATCTGATGTAAAGCAGCTTTTTCTCTCCTGGTTACCATCTGATTCTCTTGATGTCCAATTCTCACGTAGAGCTCTTTCTCTGGATAAGAACCACACTCTTTTTGCTTCTTCAGTTCTCCTTTTTCTTTCAGTTCAGTCAACTGGTCATCCTTTTCGCAAGCCATTAATAGTATGGCAGTCAAAGTGCAGTTCTCTCTTCTTAACCTGGTTAGATGATCTTCAAATGTTTTTGTGATCCTTGACTTTTCATATTTTAACTCATACAACTGGTTTTCTTCTTCTGATGCCTTTGATAGTAACGAGGATAGTTTGGATTTTTCTTTTTGTAACTTCGCAATTTCATCTTTGAGATCCATTGAAGTCTTTGAGGTGTCACATTTTATCTCATGGAACTGGTTCTCTAACAAAACTGCTTGCTCTTCATTCAACACCAGGGATCCATTAGGTAACTCTACTTCCTCACGTGAACGTCCGCATCCACCGCGACTATGTTCCATCATATATTCCCTGTTCATTTCCTGTAACGTTATCTTCAGCTCATCAACCTCAAACATCAGATCTTCGTTTCTTTCTTGACTGTTTTTTAAACATTCCTCCAGATAATCAACATCATCAAAGAACTCTTCTCTTTCTGCTTTCAGCACGTCCACTTGGTAATCTAACAGAACCATTCGCTGTTCATTCAACTCTAGGGATCCATTTAGTAACTCTACTTCCTCACGTAGATGCCCGCATCCACCGCGACCGTGTTCCATCATGTACTCCCTTTTCATCTCCTGTATCGATATCTTCAGCTCATCAACCTCAAACATCAGATCTTCATTTCTTTCTTGACTGTTTTTCAAACATTCCTCCAAGTAATCAACATCATCCAAGAACTCTTCTCTTTCGGCTTTAAACGCTTCCACTTGACTCCCTAACAGAGCTATTCGCTGTTCATTAAACTCCTGGGATCCATTTAGTAGCTCTACTTCCTCGCGTAGATGTCCGCGTCCATCGCGACTGTGTTCCATCCCTTCCTCCCTGTTCATTTCCTGTATCGTTATCTTCAGCTCATCAACCTCAAACATCAGATCTTCATTCCTTTCTTGACTGTTCTTTAAGCTTTCTTCCAAGTAATCAACATCATCCAATAGCTCTCTTCTTTCCACCATAACCTTTTCCACGAATGCATTTCCTTCTTCCCATTTTCGCTCCTTTCTCTTGAAATCACGTTTTAAATTTGCCAGCTCTCTTTCTTTGTATTCTTCCTTAAGCTGCATTCGCTTTATCTCAACTTGGCTCTCTTCCAGGTCAGCCTGCAAAGCTTTTATCATCTTTCGGTACGTTTCAAGTTTCTCAGTTGTGACGCGTGGTTCTTTCTCATCTTTGCAGACCTGTTTATTTAAGCAAAAGAGGCGTTGTTTTTGTTGCAGCTGTTGAATTTGTGGATGATAGTTAGTCATCCTTTTGTAACTATGATAGTTAAAACTGGCAGAAATGAAGTCATGATATAAATGAGTGATAACCGCAATTAGGATACGTGATTCCGTTCACGACTTAGTCGCTTTTCTTCTAAGACACGTGAAAACCGATTTCGGAATCAAATAAAAATGACAAACGACAGCCAAACACGACATTAAGTCTCAGGTCCTCCGGGAGAGACAGTTGTCATTGTGAGATACTTTACTGACGACATTTGTTTATAAAACATTTGTCTCGCAATCTGGCCTCAAGTGATAGATGTTATGCAAATTTACCTGTTTTAGCTGAGCTTTGTTATCAGACTCGTTCTCTGACAAAGATCTTCTCTTACTCTCTCTGCTCAGGCGAGTCATTCTGACTGGTATTCTTGATTTCTGATGCAGAGAAGGAGTATGATTTTGGTTTCTTTTCTTTACGGGGTGAAGCGACGAAGCCATCGTGTCTCACTCGTGGTTTACTCTCGCTCGATGAAAATCCTTACTCAAATAAAGTTTGTTTTGTTTGTTTGTTTTTGTTTTCGTTTTGGTATTTGCTCTGTTTGAAGTAGTTTTTCTCTCAAATTAGACTTTGAAATAATCTAAATTTCCAAAGCTCCGAATTTCGATACTAATCGGATCGATAGCTGAAGCAAATGATTTTGTTTTGAGCGAAAATCCATGGAAACCATCTCTTACGAGTTTTTCGTCATACAGAGCGAGGAAACCTTCGATAGCTCGTGCACGGTAAGCTTAACAGGAATTTGATGATAAATCTAATTCTGAAATACTACAACGTTGTTTCCAAATTCTAGAACTGTGAGAATTTTGAAAGCTTTTCCCTTCGAAAACTAGCTAACACAAAAATATGATGCCAAATGAAAAATTTACTTGCAAAATGCTTTCCACATCCCAAAGATGCCAAGCAAGTATGCAGGCGAAAAAAAAATGATCCTTTGTGATAACTAAACAGAGCTCCCTAACTTCTTGGATACAAAAAGAGTCATTGATATACGGCCTATAATCTAATTGTGCCTTGACAGTCTTACTCAGGAACGTGTAGATCCATTGAAGTGAGCAGAAAAGTCCTCTCCTTTCATTCATCCAAAGAAAACGAGTTTGATGCTTCCAGTAACTTTGGATGGTGATAACTACGTCAGTAAAGATGATTTGGTGAAGACAGAGATGTTGGAGTTCTTCTCTTGTTACCATTTTTCAAGTGAAAAAGGTGTTGAGCTGCAGTCAAAATTCCACATAACTTTGCGAGGCCCGTAACCAGAAGTAAGCTGTAAAAATTTCTACTTTTAGTGATTTTCGCAGATTTCAATCTTCCGTTCGTGTCGGCTCAGTTTGTATCGATCTTAATTGTCTTGAAAGGTAGTGCCTTAACTTACCCACTTCCGTCTTATAAACTGTTGGCAGCAGTGGAAATGAATCGCTGAAATAATGAAATTAACATTCGGACTGATTTACTCAGAGTTCACAGTCTCTTTCACATCACAATTGCGAACCCAGTCAAATGTTCAAGTGCTCTTTTAGCCAATCAGAGAAGAGAAAAAGGCAAGGTATTTGATAAGCCAAGAGAGGTTGATCTTAGCGTTGATTGACAGTTATGAAAGTATTAGGAGGAACAGCAAATCCCTGAATTTAAGCTGAATTTCAATGCTGCCCTAAATTAAAGTGACCTAAGAAATAACAAATACACCAACAACAAATTTCTGTATTATGGCAAAACTTTATTGACTTCTACAATGAAAAATACAAAAACACTAGTCATTTACAAGGAATCATGAGCAAAACTGCTATTTACAAGGAACCATGAGCAGATCAACATGTAAACTTTGTTGGCGGATGTTGTGGTCTGATATTTCCTTTTCTTCACTTGCTTATTTTCATCTTCTACTCGTCTTTTGAGTGCTGATGTACAACACTGAAAAGGAACAGATCCATCTTTCAGTAACATAGCTCACTCAACCCATTACACTCCAACATCAGTATGCATATTCTCCATACTGTTCTCTGTGCATTTACTAATGCGCCTTCAAGGACAGTTTGCTTAACAATCAAAAGCTTCATTAGTTGGTAATCATTTTCTATATTCTCCTGACCTAAATGTTTGATTTAGGGGTGATATTGTAAGGAGAAATTAGATCCTAGTCACTTGCAGGAGTTTAAAAGGGTTAAATTGTGGGGGTGTGAAGTTCACTCTTGCAGAACTATGAATGAAGAATTTCCATGCAAACCCTGGCTTCTGAAAGGATAGTAGATGAACGCAAATAAAATCAGATGGATACAAAGAGCAAAACACAAAGTAGTGATGAGCTAAAATTTACAATTTTATGACAGAGAATGGAATTTAACATAAAATCATGGCTGGTTTATTAATTTCTATTTCTTTTTTTTCCTTTTAAAATAGGAATGAGGGTTTATTTCATTATCCTTCTTTTATGATTTTTATTTTCAAGAACAAGGAGTGTCCCTTCAACAGACTTAGATCCTAACAGCTACATACCGTTGTTTCCTCTCAAAAAAGCATCACCATATTTGTTTTTCAGCTGAAAAATAAATGAGATTAATTAGATTGCAGTGTTGCATAAATTAATTATTAGTTGAAATTAAGCCATGGATTCTATAAAATATCCATACCCACAATGTTTGTCTACCAACTTACTTCTAGAAATTCCTGAATGCCTAAAAATTCCACTTGTGCTTTTTTTAACTCTTCCCCCTCCCTTTGGGAAATCCAGTTGAAGAAAAAATGCTTCAATAAGGCTACAAACTTATTATAGACTGTGATGTTTTGAGAGTTCTATTGTACTGAGATGGTTCACTTTCATTTCATTAACCCTTTACAACCCAACATCAGTATGCATATTCTCCATACAGGTCTCTATACATTTCCTAAAGTACCAACATGGAGAATTTGTTTAACAATCCAGAGCTTCTTTAGTTGCTGATGATTTCCTTTATTCTCATGACCTAAATGTGTGATTCAAGAGTGATACTGTAAGGAGAAATTAGATGCTGGTCACTCTTAGGGGTTAAAAGGTTAATCACTACCCTTTACCCTTTTTTCCTAACTCCACACTGTTAAAAAAACATCCATAAATCATTCCACAAGAAGAAAACAATGCCAGCCATATTGAAGGCTTCAAGGTAAGTGAAGGAAATGAGTCTAAAGGCAAAACTTAATTTTGTGGACAAGGAGGAGAGAAGTGCAAACATGAGAGCATTGATTAATATGAAATAGGTACAAGAAATTTGGCTCACCTGTCCATTTGCATACTCCTCTGTTTGTTCTAAGGCAATGTTCATGTAACCATCAAGGCAGGCAAGTACTCCTGAAAGAAATCACAACCAATAGTATTTACGTGTCTACCCAAAGACATTAAATAATTAAATTGACATGGTATGCCATAATAATAATAACAATAATAATAATAATAATAATAATAATAATAATAATTTATTAATTTATAGTGTGCTTTTTAACATACCTAGTGATCAAAAGTGCACAATGGGAGACAACATCACAAGTTAAACAAAAGCATTCACAAGGTGCAAATGGTTACTGCTGGTAATGGGTGAACACACACTAGGTAACCTTTTACATGTATTTTTGTATGTTTCATGGGTCAGCTGTCATCTCCTTTGCTAACGAATAGCACCTTAACTGTCAATAACAGACATAAGTGAGCATACTTTTGTAATGATAGCAAGGAGTTTGTAAGAACCTGAATGGTGTCACCTTAATGAAGGAAAGTGTCTGACATTTGCAAACTCTATAGTTAACTAACTATATAGAGGTGTTGTGGGAAAATAAAATGTAAAACTCATAATGGAATTAACCTCAATTAAGGAACCTTGAAATTGTTTTTTTTTCCTTTTAATGTAATTGACAGGGAAATATCACTTATTTTTGTGTTTAAATGGTAAAACTAGTCTCTTGCAGCTGTTGTTTGGTCTTGCAATAATAATAATAATAACAGTTTATTAAACTCTATTGCAGTAACTTGCTGAATTAACAAGTTATAATACAACTTAATAAGATCAACAATGTACATTTCTGTATATATTAAGTACAAATTATATACACCACAACAGAACATGTATCACATTTGTTAAAAATACTTAAAAGTGAAAAAGTCTTTGGTGCACTTTGTTCTACAGGTAGTAAGTTTCTGTAAAAGTACAGCTGGTCTGATTTGTGCCCTAGGGTGTAGGGACAGGTATCATCTAGGCGTGTTGTTAGAAGAGGATGAAGAGGGTGGTTTAAGTCCTTCATTTTGCACATATACTCTTTACATATCTCATCTCTTCTGTACGCAAGGGTCTCCACCCATGCTAACTCAAGGGCATCTGAGTAGCTATCAGCACATGGGAAAATTATCTTAAGTGCCCTTTTCTGTATGGATTCAATTTTGTCAGACAGATAACCTGGAATGGATTGCCACACAGGCACGGTGTACTCCAGAACAGATCTAACAAAGCTTGTGTCGACCTTTAACAAGCTACCTTGATCCATGCTGGCTTGACATGGAATATGTAGGGAGTAGAGCTTCTTGCAAGCTTCTTTATATATGTAGTCCACATGACTATTCCACCAAGGGTGCTATTGATAAATACTCTTGTTGGTTGATACATGTTCTATACTGTTGTTACCAACAACTAATGGTCTGAGAGTAAAGTTAGGATAAAACATAAAGTTAATTAACATCTCTTTACACTTAATAGGGTTTAGTTGCATGTTGTGATCCATAGAAAATCTGTGAATGTCATATACAATCGAATTGAGCAGACTGATAGAGTTCCTGGGTAGTATTTCTATGGCAGACGTGTCATCCAGAAACTCGACTCTCAGTGGCCAATCGGCTAAAAGATTGTTTGTCATTATTATGAAAAGTATCACTCCTAGTTTAACTCCCTGAGGCACACCTCCCTTGAGGAATTTCCAATCTGATAGTGTTGCACCTGTTCTTACAGCCTGCTGTCTGTCTGTTAGGAACGCAGCAATCCAAATGATGAGCATGGGATCAACCTCTAGTTTTCACAACTCAGTCATTACGATGACTGAGTTGTCATACAACATACTCTTTCCCTCTATAGAGGGAGATAAGGAGAGAGTGTATTGTGTGATGAACCAATCAATGGTTGCAGAGAAAACTAAGGTAAAAGTCCTTTAAAAGAACACCAAAATATGTCAACTAATTTTTGGTCTCACTTTGTGAGTTTATAATAACTTTCTGAAAAGGACACAAAATGCCCTTTACTTACTTACAGCATGATAAAATGTGTTTACTAGTTTCACCAGTAACCATAAAATGTATATGACTATAAAATGACAGAGATGAAAGATGTTCCAGCATGTCACAAACTTTCCTGATCACACACATGAAACCAAACTTTCCATGGCATTTCTTTAAGATCTGAAATTGTTAATGATGAATACGAGGCCCCTGTCTGTATTTATTCAGGCGTTTTCCAATCACGGAATAAAATAATTATAACAAAAAGATGAAAAATTTGTTTCAAGTGTAATACTAAAATACGAAAACTATTCAAATTGACAAGAACATACAACTAGTTGACCTTAATGACAGAGCTAACTGCAGCTCGTCTTATTTTTTTGTTTCAATATTTTTTAAAATTTATTTTTTGTCTTTGTTTTGTTTGTTTTTAATTGGTCGGAGGGTTTAATTCATGCTGGAATGAAATGAAACGGGCCAAACTTAAATGCAACAGCAAAAAAGGTGAGCCGTAAGTAACAAAAAGACGTGAAAAGGATTGACTCTCTTCATCATAAAATATCGTAAGAAGGTTGATGTTTTTTCTCAATTTGAACGTTGTTATTTTAGAGAAGCACGTGGTAAAATTATGATGTAGGAAGTGTAACGAATCTCGTTTACCTCGGTAATCGACACCATTATTGAGCTTCACCACAACAGGACGGCCGATAATTTGCTTCAGAAAGTCACTTGGAGTTTGTTTGCGACTCATTATTTTGATTTGCTTGAGCCAAAACACGAAGTACAGTACTCTGTAACCAACGTCACCGATTACTTCGTAATTTCCAAGATGGCGGATACAGGGAACTCGACCCAGTATTTCTCGCTTGGCTATTTAGGTTAATTATAAATGGTGGCTTCACCGAAATGAGATCAAGGATGGGAGAATATTTTTACTTCAATATAATTCTAGTCTCAGCTCTCATGTTAAGTCATGTTTTTTTTTCTGTTGCTTAAACTGGCTGGTTTCATTTCCTATACCCTATTATTATATTTCCTATATATGTCCAAACGTGACAGGAATCTAATAAATCTAATAAAGTGGGTCAAAGTGGAGCGGCATAGACTGTAACTAAGCGGCATAGACTGTAACCAAGCGGCATAGACTGTGACTAAGTGACTAAGTACAGATGTAAATGGTGCCACGCTTACTGCAGTTTTCTTCGCAGCCGATGTTTGGTCATTGCGTGAGCGGGAGCAAAGTAAAACATCACAAATGAAAAGCCACATTGTCAAAAGAATTACAATACGAGTATACTTTATTTTGCGGCGGATTTCTTGGCGAGACCACAGAGTGATTACCTGCAGCTTTAACTGATAGGATACAACTAAGATAATGTCGGCTGATTAAAATGTCGGATAAAGGCACATATTACTCGTGCATGAGCATAATAATCAGTTCTCATAAAAGAAGAAAGAAAAACGTAAAAGGAAGGTGAGAAGGAAAATCTTCAAAATTTTAACAGGAAACGATGGAGGAAGAAATGATAAACATATTCAAATTTTTTTTACTCTCTATTTCATTCGCTAGCCAAAAAGAAAAAAAAAACGCCCAGCGATTTGTTGTCACAAATTACTATTTACCAAAAGGGTAACGATGAGTTATTAATCTACACTATTTTTAAAAATAAATTCAAGGAAGTTTTCGTCATAAATGAATTCTCAGGTTCCTCAACCGCCGAATTCAACGCGCCATTAAACATCTCTCGTCTGCGCTCCACCGAGCGAATTGACAACAACTGGCTGAATATTATTTGCTTTAAAACACCTATCTTTATGAACACAGATATATTTTTCTTTTTGCCAATAGGTTAATTTCCTTAATTAGACTTTAACTAATTTTTCCTGCATATTCTGAGTCTTAATCAAACAAGCGACGACACCTCTTCCCATAAATTGGACTAAAACGAATTTTACGGTGACATTGTTTGCATTACTCACAGATTAACCGCATGTGTTCCTCTCACATTTGTTATATTAGATTAAACACCATTGACAATTTGACGTATGCTGCCAAAGCGTAACTGAAACTCCTCAGTTTATTGATTATTGCTTCTTGCTTACACAGGATCACTTTTTCTACGTCATTGGCTTGTCGGGATTTTCCAATTTTCCATGCTAATTTGTCATTTAACCACTTACGTGATCATTGTGAAATGAATTGCAAATTCATGCGTAAGAAAGTTGTACAGATTGTCGATGCTGGAGGGGAAAAAATCGTTCGCGATATCCTAATCTGAAAGGGAACTGAAGTACAACGAGAAATGCTTTTGTTTTGATTAGCATCGAACAAACATTGGCTAATATGCTTTTAGCAGCAATTTCTTTCTTGTTCTTGGTCAAATTTGGGCCTACCACATGTTCAACTCACCAAGATAGCTACTTTTGTGGGTTGGTAGAAGACACAATTCTCAATACAGACTGGATGACCTGTCTCCAAGCTTGCCATAACAAAGCAAGCTGTATCTCGTATAACTACGGTAGAAGAGATAAAACTTGTGAGATGATCTCCGACGGAGTTACGAATCAGTGTGACAGTGGAAAGGTGATTTACTCAAGAGGATGGGTTTTTCATCAGATAAGGGTAAGAACTATGTAAATGGGTGGTCAGGAGTTTTTTCCTCTCCTCAAAGCTTGTTGCAAAATGACACTCTCGGATGAAGATTGTATTACAAAGAGCAAGAAATTAAGGTGCAGATTTTTTAACAGTTTATTTCGTTAATGCCTTAAAAACAACCGAGACAGAGCTCGAACTTGCTGAGAAAGTTTTGCAAATTTTCAATCAAGAGTTATAGTGTTATAATATTTTCAATAAACTTGCCGACTCTGGCACTGTAGCAAAACTTAAATTATCGTCACTGGCACAAGTCTCGTCATTGCACATAATGCTATTTATAACATGCTTCAGGCTTAAATTGGATGCCATTTTATGTTTTAAGAAAATGAGAGAGGTAAATTGAAAAGTGGTATGGTATTTACAAAATATCATTTACGAATGTTTCCACTATATACTGGCTTGCACGGTTGCGAAAATACGGGGTAAAAGGTCAATTTCGTTGCTTTATCATTAGGATAAAAATTATTCCAGCGGGAATTGTGGCTGTTTTTCTTTCTTAGGAACATTAAAAAGATAGATATTGTTGCATTATGATGTAGTTTTGTGGAAGCCAAGGTAAAGAGGAAGCTAATACTTGTAGCAACTAAAAATGAGAAAAAAGTTATGCATTTTTGTGTTTCCCACAATTAAATGGAAAATACGTTTTGCTTGCTTGCGCGTTGGGATTGAAACACGTTTTCATACCAGAAGCTACACAGCATATTGACAACAAACGACTGAGTTAAAAAAAAAAGCATAAAAAAGCATTTATTTATTTCTGGTACCAATATTAAAAAGCAAAAAGCTCTCTTAACAAAACTAAATGATTCATAAATTGTTTTAAAATATTTTATATTGCGATATCAGCGATACAAGAACCACTGCAACGTAGTACAATATTATTTCCGATAGAGGCAGATTTCAATCGCTGAAGATGAGCACTTTGGAAGCTATTGTTTGAAGAACCTCAAATATATAATTTTTCATTAGCCTTTATTTTCTTTTACCACTGACTTCAGATGCTTCAATTTAGAAACGAAAGAAACTGTAGTCAGCTTAATAAGCTTGATAAGACTTGTTTTTAATTTGCCAGGTCTTATTTAACAAAACCCGTGGCAACTGGTATATATTGTGTTGACTTTGCCAGCGGCTGAGGAAAAGAAAAGCAAATATTTAGATTTTAAGGAAGCTTTTATGAAGGAAATTGAAATATTTATTCAAGAGCAACGAATCTATTCACAAATCGTCGTGGAAACAAAGTTAAAAGACGGGAAGAACACCAACAGAAAAAAATTGATTAGAAATGAATTATTGGATGGCTATTTTTTGAAATTTTTAGATAAACAGCTATAACAGAGATTCATAGTGGATGCATGTTAAGAACCTAAGAACCGCAGGTGTTTTTCAAAATCGGATTTACCAATTCAGAGACAATCGAGTTTCGCATTCATGCCATCAGCGACCAAAATTGGAAATTGGCTTGTATGGATTCAATACGAATCATACTGTTAAAAATAGTATATCATTGTTGAATAAAGATGTTAAAAAAATCCGCGTCAATTAAGGCCCAATTTTGACGTCTTTCCTCAAATGAGCCGAAGAGAATCTTAAAAGTAGGCCGGTTGAATTGATTTCGACGTGCTATTTTTTTCCAATTAAGCGGAATTGATTCGGGCGATTTACCTCTCATGGAATTGGTTCCTGATTTATTCGATTCGAAATGTAAGTTTATATCACCCGTGCTGAATCTGCGAGGGGTAAAATTTAAAAGTACAAATATACACCATTTCATTGTTAGATAAAGTGAAGTTTCTAATCCAGAAAGTCGTTAGACAACACCACAACTCTGTTATCACCAGTTTACAGGCTTATTTGGTTGTGCTGAAGTAATCATGGCCTGCTAGAATAAAACCAAAACGAAAAAAAAGGGTATTCGTATTCCATAATTATTGATAATTAAAATAGTTGGTGTGTAACTCATTCTATTTCCTTGTTTTTTTTATTTTTAGCCACTTCCTCAAAAACAAGTCATTGCAGGTAATATCGAAAATCTTTTTTTTTTTCTAACAATTCCTTTCAGGAAAGAAACTGTAATTATTCCCTTGCATTTACTGCGTAAGTTGGTGCACAAGTGCTTTTAGTCCATATTCTATATTAAAACGACATCCACTTTCTATGTGTTTGCATCTTGTCACTCAATTTCTTGGTTTATTTACCAGCAAACTCCGTAAATTATTTTATTTTCACGTTTTCTCTCGTGGCCTTCGATGAATGTGCTTGGAAGAAATAAAAAGTTGAAATCGTAGAGCACTAAAAAAGCCAAAACAATCACACACTTTTTGGAAACAAAGTAAATTTGAGAATAAATTTGAAAAGAAGCTATAAGGGTTTTTTTAACTTTCATCTGTCTTTTTTTTTATTCTGTTATTATTTTTCATCGAAGAATTAGGAGCTAGTCCGAGTAATCCTGGCGAGTCATGCTTGGATATTCTCGATCGCAGGTGAGTAATCCTGGGTACTGGTGGCTTTTGTGTGTGTGTGTGTGTTTGGGATGTTCCTAAATTTCTTGCCTTCTCTTTTGTAGCAACTGTAACTAAATCTCTAGCTGGTCGAGGAGACTAGTACTGTAGACCGCAAAATAACGGAAAGTGTCAGTTGTTAAGACTGACAAATGACTGACAAATGACTGACAAATGACTGACAAATGACTGACAAATGACTGACAAATGACTGACAAATGACTGACAAATGACTGACAAATGACTGACAAATGACTGACAAATGACTGACAAATGACTGACAAATCCAGTTTCTGGCTTAATAACCTTGTTTCTTCATTAGGTATTAGTCATTATCTATCAACCGGGGGGGAGGGGGAGGGGGTTGGTGAATTTTGGGGGGATCACATGGGGGAACGGAGGTGGGGCCAGCCGTTACCGACAGAGTATAACGGGGGAACTATAGTGCGGAGGGTTATAAGAATATCACCAAGCCTTATGGGGGAATCAGATGAGTTTTATCGTGACACAACCAAAATCATCCAAACTCCCACCCAAGGTGATAAATAATGACCGGCCCCTAACCGGGAGTAAGGTTACACGCACCTCTAAAGAGCACCTAACTAGATGCATTGTATTACAATAACAAAATCATCCAAACTTCTCCCCCTCCCCCCGTGATAAATTATGACCGGTCCCATTGGGAATAAGGTTACACGCACTTCTAAAGACTACCCACCAAGATGCATTATATTACAATAACAAAATCATCCAAACCTATCTCCCCCCCTCCCCGTGATAAATAATGAGCGGCCTCTTGGGGAGTAAGGTTACACGCACCTCCAAAGAGTACCCACCAAGATGCATTGTATTACAATAACAAAATTATTCTAACCTACCCCCAAGGTGATAAATAATGACCGGCCCCTTGGGGAGTAAGGTTACACGCATCTCCAAAGAGTGCCCACTAAGATGCATAATATTATCATAACTTGTTTAAAGTTCAACTCTCTTAGAGGTCACCAGTTTGTATGAGTAAACATTCGACCCTTTTTTATTTTCTATATTTCGCCATATTTTCTTTTCTTTTCACAGATCTTCCTATGGATCTGTTAAAAACGGTGCCTACTATATCAGAATAGGACAAAAAACAAGTTTTATCTATTGTTTAATGGAAAATACCCCGGGGTGTAAAAATGGAGGCTGGACATTAGCTATGAAAATAAACGGAAACAAGGTAAGTTTGGTAGCGATTTATAATGCTGAAACGAATTCATAAATCCTCTTCTCATTGTGGATTACATGCACCTACCTACTTTTGCAAAAAAAACCCGACTTTGGGCCTCTTCCTCCAAGAGCAAACAGTAGCAAACAGTAGCAGCATAACTAATAGTGCCTGATTGTTCGATACCTCTGTGCTTGGGGCGCTTTTCGATTCATCACCAATTCCGAAGAATGAGCCAGTGATAATCACAACAGCAAACTGGTTGAAGCGCGGGGAAAAGCATGATTGGTCTTCATTTTGGATCTGATTGGTGAAGAGACTGACAAGAGTTTTTCTTGACCAATAATAGATCATACAGGAATAAAACCAATGTAATTCTGGATTACTTACAATAAAAAAAACAGTTGAGATTTGCTCTAGGATAGTGATCATGCACGATTTACGATATTGAAGTGTAGATGTCTGACTGTGCTAACGGTCTAACTTTGACTGACCGACGATCTGATTGACTAACTTACCCAATCGCTAACAGACTGACAGACGGATGGACGACTGAGAGTCGAACTCAGTGTCAAGTTGTCTGACTGAGTGACTGACAAGTGCCCAACCGAAAAACTAACAGTCTCACAGGGAGAAGTGCGGCTGACTGGCTGACTCAAGCTTAGGTCAGTAGAGTGGAAAAAAAGATATTTAATTGGTAAGATCAACACTTCCAGGTGCATTAGTATTTAAAAGTAGTAACTTTACCTTTAAACCTGATTTGAATGAAAGATAGTCGTATTATTTTGTTGACAAAGTAGCTATAATGTTTATCTGTGTATTTATCATAGGGAACATTCTCATATTCCTCTGACTTGTGGAAAAATACGGAAGCTCACAATCCAGAAGAAGCTAATAATCTCGATGAGAAGGTACAAATATAACATATATATATATATATATATATATATATATATATATACATATATATATATATATATAAAATTTGGTTTTCGAGTCATAAACCTTTCTTTAAAAAAAATTGATAAGACGATTCCTTAACACTGAACTCCCGATCAAAAGAAGAGTTTTACTGTTGCCTTACTTGGTGAGGACGCTGCACATCAAGTTTTTAAATGAAATTTAGATTCATTGAAGTAAAAAGATTAGCTTTCTCTGGTTGTCGAATTGATTAACATGGCTTCGCTTTTTTCCCGTCGCTCGACTTGTTTCCTTGTTTGTTTGTTTGTTTGGTCTTTTTTTGGGAAGGGGGGGATTGATCACTTTTTTTCATTCTTAACCATTTTCATGCCCTCATAACTAGTCAAAACATTTAGGAACTCCAACTCTTCTACATACGGATACTGAAGAAAGGTAAAGTCAAAGCCAGCTTACTCGCTAGGATAGCCATCCTACGGAGCGTATCTCGGTTTTCAGTAGCATGAAGCGACTTCAAGCTACTGCTGCTCCCTAGAGTTCACCATGCTCATCTCTCTCTCTCTCTGTCTGTGTGTCTCTCTCCCTGTCTCTACCCCTCTCACGCTGAAAATAACCTCAACATACCCTTTTCTTTCGCAACAGGAAACAAAATTTTCCTTCTATGCAGATGCCCAGATCGCAGTGGGCCTCTGTGTTGGAATGAAAGTTCAGGGTCACACAAGATGGCTCGAGCTCAAGATACCTTACAATGACAAAAGCTTATTTGGAATTTTTGGATTGCATTCTACACAGCCTCTTAGTGGAATTGATTCTTCACAATGGAAATCATTGATTAATGGATCTTCTATGCCTGAAGTAAGTCAAAAACAGTTTAGTTTTACGGTGATTCTTAGAGTTGGATAACATTTAACACTGATGTATGTTAAGTTATGGACCTACCTTCAATGGAAAAGTAAGAGCTCAAAAAGTATTGTTCTTGTTCCCTTAGAACTGTCCAAGCAGCAAAAAAAGTGGTTTTAACGTTCAACGAGAAAGCTCTGCGGTAGGTGCAAAAGCTCGACTTGGACTGATAGCACGGAGCAGAGATCCATGCGGTGGCGATCCCGATACAAGGATTGGGTTTGGAACTGCAGGAAGCATTGGGGGAACGGACCCTAACAACACATGTGGAAACGTATATATCTCAAGTTCTGGCGCACCTATCAATAAATCCATCAAGGCATTCTGTTATATATTCATTAAATAGTTCACATGATTCGGCGCATAAAGAATTAAAAAACGCGTTCGGAGAAAAGGATCTCCGACGGTGTGCTTCCGCGGGGTTACTCTTCCAACACTATAAACTCGTGGCATTTCGAAAAGTAGCGAGGTCCTCCTCTTTGGCTTGGAAATAGTGGTGGAAAGTTAAGGTTACAAATTTCGCTTAAGATTAAAAACTGTCTTTTTGTTTCTTGATAAGCAGGGACGTTTTTCAGCTAAGTCTACGCTTTGATTGTGTGTTTGTTTCTTTTTTTTCCGCTTGTAACAAATCAGAACATTGTTTCCTGAAAACATTCTACTATAGGTACGTACGTGAATGTTAATCGTTATCAGGCCATACTATCATTACTTAGATCTCAATTCCAACTCTTTCCAAAGTGGAGTAAGATAAAGGCCGTGTAAATGATCTTTGAATTTGCAGCAAGTCACAAAGCACTGCCATGCAGAAATCTGAATTATTAAAGAAAAAAGTTCTCTCGTAAACTGTATGTTTCTTGAATTTACGTGGCTCCAATCTCAAAATTTATAAGATTTTGCCCTTTTCGTTTTAGTCTGACAGTGGGAATTTTTTTGAAAATGCAGTGTATCAGTCACCGTAATTGAATTTGTATTTTGAGAAAGTGGGCCTTTGGTTCCAAATAGACAAAATTGGTCACTACGCACGCATTGACTTAGAACAACTTTTAGATTCCATCCTACTCGCCTGTCTTAACAACCTCATCATTTGAATGTTTTACCAGAAGTTTCTTTCCTCCGTTTTATTCGCTTTGCAAACGTTATTAATTTGTAACCGACGTAAAGGTAATTTAAGAATTTCATACAAAAGTTGAAATTGATACGACAATAGGAAACCAGTTTGTTGTCTCAAACCTGCCTGATTTTATTGTTGGATTTTTTTATCACGAAAAAAAAAAGGGAATTACGAAGGCCACAAGGGGAGCTACATTTCACTTTAGAGGAATCACCTATCGCAAAAACTTAGAATTTTCGAAATTGACGCCTATAGAGCTTTGCCTTGAAAACTCTACGCTGTCCTGAGAGGGTCTGTATGGCAGGCTCAAGCGGCCGGTTATTGACTCGTTCACCTGCTGACTGGTGGCGTAATTTGGTTTCAATCCTGTCACGACCATAAATAACAATACACTCCATGCAACAACTAGTTCGGGAGAAAAAACTGAAAAGTTCTGGATGGTTGTGGGCGATATCCAAGATTATTCCAGAAAAAGGAGCAATTAGAAAATCGGATTTTGCCTTTGTTCGAATCACACACCAGTCGAAGCTCTCGTCTGTTGGAGGGAAATATTTTCTGAGGTGTATTTCACGCGCGATTGATCAGTGACTTCTTTCACTACGAAACAACGTAATTTCAAGGCGTTTCCGCAGGGGAGCTAGCACTTTGATCGTGAATATCAGCATCTGCCACACCGAATTTTTACCTTCTCTAAGGAAGAAAAGCACTTTTTGCATTGCACTGAACTTCGTTTGAGTTATCATTTAAGTAATGTGGAGCACACGGAGTATGGAGGGCGAACATTACAAGCAATGGATTGTCGATTGATCACTCATCTGTTGGACAAACTAAATCGACTAATAGCTTGTCGATCATTGTGTGTTTTAGAGCAAACGAGCTCCATTCTCTCCTAAAGCATTTCGTCTGGTAAATTATCCGTGGCACAACTTTTCTAAACAACGCTGAGTCCATCAAAAAGCTACTTAAAACAGCATTGCTTACACCACATCGTAATCAATACAAAGTGTGACATCCTAACAACATATTGAAAGACTTTCCTACTGCACAGACATTCAAATCAGGTATCGTGGTCTCTTGATAGCGAGAGGTAAAAAGCAGCCTTATTTTAGTTCGAAAAAAGGGAAAAAGTGAGGCCTGGCACATTTGAATGGTTCTGAGTGATCCTTTGTTTATTGTTCAACCTATCCCAGAGTTCTTTATGGGTTTCTATGGGAGCAGCTCTACAGACTCTGGGCGTAGCGGAAGTAGCGAGTGAAGTCGCTTGTTGCGCAGGCTCAGCAGCGTGCAGTTTATTTTGTAAAAAGAAAGTCGGTGGTATTAGATCAAGGCTATACTTCACCGTGTTTCTTCTCCTTGGTACAGTTCTTTGCCTCGTAATGCTCTCCCCGAATATGCGACTATATCTGGACAAAATTCCTTTCCTCTGCACGAGACTCGCGTCTAAACGAACTTGCGACAATTTCGTGGGCTACGGAGCAGTTTACAGAGTTTCAATCGCCATGTCTATGTTTTTTCTATTATTCTCATTCCTCACTTACAACGTGCACTCTAAGAAAAAATTCCGCGCTAGGATCCACAATGGTTTCTGGTACATCAAACTCTCCCTGTTGGTTGTGATAATAGGATTTGTATTTTATCTACCGAGTTCGGAGCTTATCAGCAAGATATGGATGTATATTGGACTTACGGGTGGATTTATGTTCATTCTCATTCAAATTATTCTCGTCATCGACTTTGGTCATTCGTGGAGTGTATCTTGGGCAGAGAAAATGGACACCCTTGACACCAAATGCTGGTACTTCTCACTAGCCTTTTCAACCGCTTTAGTGTATTCGATTTCTGTCACGGCGGCTGTGATGTTTTATCTTTTCTTCACCAACCCGGACGATATATCACAGTGTAAAGCGAATACTTTTTATATCAGTTTTAACGTAGGACATTGTGCGCTGGCTACAATAATTTCTGTGCTTCCGCGAATTCAGGAAGAAACAACAGGAGCTGGTCTCCTGCAGTCTTCAGTCATTACAATATACACCATGTATCTTACATGGAATACCCTTTCATCTCAACCAGACTCAAAATGCAATCCACTTGGCGCGGTTATACTGGAATATGACAAGGTATCTGGTGTGAATGGGCAAGCGATCTTTGGCGCGCTTTTGATGTTTGCCTTATTAGCGTTTGCGTGCACTGTCCGCGCCAGCACTTCACAGCTTGGGAAACTGGGACTCTCTTTATCTGACAATCCCGAATACTTGCGAAAAAGTGTCGAAATAAACACGAAGCACCGAAAACAAGAGAACATACCTGATGAGGATGGTAAAGGAAACGAGGAACTTGAAAGCGAAGATGTCGCTTATAGTTATTCTTTCTTTCACTTTGTTCTTTTCCTAGCATCTTTACATGTCATGATGGTAATGACGAACTGGCACAGTCCAGATGAAAACGTTGATTTTAAGAAAATGATAAAGAATTGGGCAGCAGTCTGGGTGCAAATGGCATCGAGTTATATTTGTTGTCTGGTGTATATATGGACTCTAGTAGCGCCCTTAATACGAAAGACGTGGGGCCATTATCTGGGGTTGGACTTTGAACCTGCCAGACAGCCGAGCGCAAGAAGAGCTAGCGCTGCACGGCTTAGAGACGATTTCATGAAGACAAAGGAAAGATTAAAAACATCTGAAATCGTGGTTGATAGGAATAGAGACAAACGAGAGCTTGAGCAAAGCCGGCAAGCTAGAAAAAGGAGGCTTCAAGAAGCGATAAAAAGCAATCAAGGTAATGAAACAGACGTCGGTGTGGGCGAAGCAAGTAAAGCTAAAGGCAAAACGGAACACCAAAGTGATAATGACCCTCTCTGTTCGAGTGATAAAAACCGTGACAGCAGTGCTAGTGAAAGAACAGTCGAAAAACAAAAAGATAAATCCAAACTCACGCCAACTTCGTCGGCCGAGAGTTCACTTTTGCCCGATGCGTCGATGTATGATCGGAAAAGGTCGTGCTCCTCTGATAGAACTTCGGAAGAACAAATAAGGCTTCCCAATCCTTCTATGCCAGTACGAATACAAATCGACCATCCATTCGAAAAGATTACCCAAGAAAGTGTTTTCAGCAACAGCGTCAAAGAACCTGAAGTTTCCAAGGAAATTCTCAGATTACAAGAAAGAATTCTTAGATTTCAGGCGAAGATCGTGAAAATCCAGCATAAAATATTATCCATACAGGAAACAGGTGAAGTTACTATTCCAAGAACAGAAAATGTTACGAAAAGAGGATAGCTTTTAGGTGCCTGTTCGTCATACCCGACACAAATAGATTCAAATCAGAACTCTATCCTGGGTGGTAAAGAAAACATTTTCGATTTTCAAGATAACTCAGGAAACATTAAAGATCAGAAGCCCTGGTTCAACCAAGAAGAAGTTTTCTTTTTTCATTTAAGCACCCACTAAAAGTGAGAATTAAAAGCAGTCTTTGATGTATAGCTATTTTAAGCAAAGTATACTAGTAATTTTTTTTATATATACCATCATGTGACTGTCAACACAGTTCTCTAAATTTCCCCTTCATTGCATTCCCTCACTTTTTACTTTATTTTGTACTATAAGCGAGATCTTTTTTTAAGAATTTGTATCAAACCTGTGTTCATACTTACAAATAAAATAACATCACTGAGATTTCAGTGAAACCAAAAGATGAAAAAGAGAGAACATTAAAAAAAGATATTTAACCATATGGCTACTTTGTCGTTCATGCTATTTACTCTTTGCAATTGTCCTCTTTTGTGTTTCCATTTGATTGCAAATGAAACAGCTATAGAGCCATCAAATAGACTTGTTTCAGACCAAGCCTTTCCCTGGCTAACTCTTACTTAACTCCTGAATAGAATTGATTTATCAATAAAGGTATGCGATAACAAACTTTTTCCTGTTCCTCTCGGGTTGTAATCGATGACCTGACGTGCAGCGCATGAGGTAAAAAAAGAACGTTGGTACTGTTATTAATAAGGAAAGGATATATAGCAAAACCGCAGGTAAAGCTGTTAATCAAACGGGATTAAAAAAGAAATAAGGGCCAAAGAGCAATTAAATTTTTTAATAATTTGTTATTCTATTTAGTGATAACATATCAAAATCTCGATTATTCCACAATATTCTTTGGAAGCAAGTGGATGCAATAACTTCAAAAGCCAATCAAAAGGCTAGTTGACATATCTTCTTTTGAAATAAGAGTTAAGCAGAATTTTGTCACTTTAACTCCGACACATTGCAGGTACCCGCCAATTCATTTTCAGTTGATGAGTTGAACGTGCCTTGCTTTAATTAAATGTGTCTTGTGCACTGCGAACAAAATACTTCTCCATCGAAAAGAAAGATACGTTTTCATTTTTCACTATTGTGGGAGAAAGAAAAATCTAAGTCGATCATGCGTGAGGATTGAAAACCCAAGCTAGCAGCTGCGAGTTTGCGGTCCGATCCTTTTCCGAGTGAGAGAGCTTGTTGGCTGGGCTAGGCCATGAGTCCTTATGTGCATGAGATCAGTCCTGTATACTGATGTAATCAGTAATAATAAAAGCTTCTTGAATGGGTAAATTTTGAGTACAGTTTTCGAGTTAAGAAAGTTGTTTACTATTCGTCTCGAGCGTAGGACACAATAAAAGTCTGAGTGTATGTGATGATTCAAACGTTGGGTGATCTGGCCCGCTGTAGACTATCAGTCGATGAAGCCTAGGGCGAAAGTGAGCACACGAAAAATAGCGTGCGGGTAAATTGGCAAGAAAGCGAGATAAAGGTAAAACGTTCCGCAGCCCTTTCCCTTACGACCTTTACCGTAGTGCGCCCATTTTTTCTTGCCATTTCTCGCGTTCCCACTCTCTCTCGCGTATTTGTTAACTGAGAATCTGTTGTAGGATATACTACAGGCTGTCCAATTTCGTGGTCCGATGCTTTACCAATTGAAGAACAGCCGAGAACTCTTTAGCGATTTTAGCCAAATTCTTGGCTCACAGCACTTCCTTTTAGTCATAAAAGGATCTTTGAACGCTTTCAATTAAGTGTCGAAACCGCGATTTCTTTTCACAGAAAAGTTCATGATCTCTTTACGACGAATTCCGACTAAATCTGTCTATGAAATACAAACAACAAGTTCATATGATCAATTTTTAAAACTTACCATGCAGATTTGTGTCTAATTCTTCAAACCAGTTTTTCCCGCTAAAAACGCTTTTACTGCGTGACGTTATACCTACATAATTGTGCCACCAGACATGAACATAAACATATCTTTTCCTTAAGTGTGGTGCGATGAAAAAGACTTCAGCTCAGTAAATAACATGAAAGACAATTCTAAGGATGAACCGAATGGTGATCAGAGCGTATGCTTCTTGTGCTGTGCATGCGGGGGACATAGAAGAGAGACAATGACTAGCGTGAACTACACTTTGTTTCTTCTACTCGTCACAGTGTTATGTTTTGTGCTTTCTGCTCCACGAATGCGAGATAAACTGAATGCTATTCCGCATTTCTGCAACGAAATGGTGGACTCAAAAAGTTGTGACAATCTAGTGGGTTACACGGCAGTTTATCGCGTGTGTTTTGGAACAGCTTTGTTTTATCTGTGTTTGTCCGTGATAACGCTTAATGTGAAAAGCGTGGAAGAGATCCGTGCTCGGATTCACAATGGTTTTTGGTACATCAAGTTTCTGCTGTTGATTGGTGAGTAATGATTGCCAGTAATAGCTGTTAGTTTTTATTAAGCATCACTTACGACTTTTATCGCTAACCAGCTTCTAGGTTTTATTTCCTCAGATCTTTTTCTTACTTATTATTTTCCTTATAAATCTTATTTTCTCAACTGACTTTCCTTGATGCTGATATTTTACCAATTTAGCGCGAAAATTTTTCGCGCCAAATGATAACTCGCGCGTCTTAGTCTATGAATCAACAAAGAAATACAGCCTTAATCGAAAAGGAACGATTTATATGGGACGATTTATATGATAGTATGTTTTATGTTAATTTAATTTTCTTTTACAGCTTTAATCACATCCTCGCTGTTAATACCACAGTCACTGTCATTTAATCGTGTATGGATGTATTTCGGCCTGGTCGGTGGATTCCTTTTTATCCTAATTCAACTTGTGGTGCTAGTTGATATGTCTCACTCGTGGAGTGAGACCTGGGTCGAGAAGATGGAGAAGGCCTCGACACCTTGTCGTTCAAGATGCTGGTAAGCGGGTACTTACAGGATAGACAGTTATATGAGAGTTGAAAATTGATGTGATGGTGGTTCCAGCTTTCCTGATGAAATAACAGCTCTACGTCTTTTCTTCAGGTATTTGTGCTTCCTTTCTTGTACCGGAATGCTGTTTATCTTATCCATGGTTGCTGTGATTTTATTTTACAAGTACTTTGTGCGGGATGCCGAGTGTAAAACCAATTTATTCTTCGTCTCGTTCAGCTTGTGCCAGTGCGTAGCAGCGACAGTGATCAGCGTTCTTCCCAAGGTTCAGGAGGCGCAGTCAGGCACTGGTTAGTGACGTCAGAACCCTGAATACATGCAGATACCTATGTCAAACGAAGTTAGGAGCCCTTTGGTTCAATTCATTGTGCCGTGAATTCCTCTTCCCTGTAAATGTGGGGATGGGCGAATTTTGAAGAAACATGTGCTCCCCACCCGACTAGCTTTGAAAGGAAAAGGGGTGACGGAGACAATATGGCATACCAAGTCACCAGTTCTCTACCCCTCTCTTGACTCAAGTTAAATGCTCCTGTCTCACCTTCTCAACTTACGGTTAAACTAAGTAAAAGGCAAATGTTTTCAGTGAGAGACAAAAGTGTTCGGCTTTTTACATGCGCAAGATAATCGATTGGATATAACCGCCAATGCTCACAGCGTCTCTTGGCTAAGTGGTCGAGTATCTTTTTTTTTATTATGATACCAGCAGAGATTGTGTGGGAGATGATGGGCGTAGGAAAAATAACCTCAAAGAGTTATCATTCTTTTTAATTGACGTTTCTTTGCAGATGTCGTCTGAGTTCCTCTTTTCTCCACGAGAGCGCAATACAAAACAAAGAAATTACAATTGAACTTCCTTAACAATTCTTAGATCTCATTTTTTTTCCATTCATCATAAAACTCAAGATCTGTTAAGATCATTAAAATTCTTTTCAGGTTTGTTTCAAGCCTCCGTCGTGATAGCTTACACCACGTATCTCACGTGGTCTGCCTTATCGCACGAGCCGGACGATCTGTGCAATCCTCCAGGTTACGTCATATCTGGATATGACCAGACGACTGGTTTGAGTTTGCAGGGAATTTTCAGCAGCCTATTTGTCTTTGTCATGCTCGTTTATGCCAGTCTTAGCACAGCCATGAGTGCATCAAACTTGAGTAAGTTCAACAACTAAGGTTGTTCGCTATCTTAATTTTTAGAATACAGTCCGTCAAGGTCGATCGATCTTGGAAAACAATTTCATATTTCATCATTTAATGTGGTGGGAAACGCCGAGACCCATCGATAACCACGCTGGACTCCGGTCGAGAGGTCTGGCTTCGAGACCTGGCTGGGGCATTGTACTGTGTTCTCTCAGGCAGGATACTTTCCTCCCAAAGAGCCTCTCTCTCCGCGCATGAGTACAAGTGGGTACCAGTAATTCGACAAGGAAACCTGAAGAAATAATTATGTTTGGGGGGTAACATGCGATGGACGAACATTTTTTCAAAAGTTTTCGTCCGCTTTTAACATTTTCGTATCACAACTCTGTCCCTCTGGTTAGTCAAAAGTGAGGTGTTCACCCATTGAGACATTTTCAAAATTACTAACAGTATAAAGATTTCGCTCAGCCTGAAGAGGATCTCCGAATTATCAATATTTACGTTCATGTTAAATAGAATTTCAGTCATGGACGTATGCACGCCCATTACCTGACCAGTAATTCTCTCAGCCAGATGGGTCACCATCTGGTTTTCTTAGGAATTGACGCTCCGATACGGACTAAGCGTTTAAGAGCTCCGCTACCGCAGCATGCGTTTTTATGTCACAATCTTCTTTCTGTCCAGACAGATGGCGTATTCACTACAAAGATCTTGAAACTAGGGCAAACAACCTTGCAACGAAAAAAGGCGACGATGTAGAGTCTGTAGTCAAGGAGGACGATCATGTAGCTTATAACTATTCCTTGTTCCATTTTGCAATGTTCTTGGCTTCATTGCACATTATGATGACGTTGACAAATTGGTACAGCCCGTCACCGGCTACAAACCTTAGGCAGCTTCAAAGATCATGGCCTGCGGTTTGGATCAAAATGGGTTCGAGTAGCGCATGCCTTTGCCTCTATATATGGGCATTGCTCGCTCCTGTGCTTCGTCCAATGTTTCAGAATTACGTCGATGGTGAAGAAAAAGAAAGTGAAGAAAAGTCAGATGCGGTCAGCGCACTCCCAACGAATCAGAATGCTTTGAAACATTCTCAAATGGCAACAAATAACGAAATACGAGCTGATCAAAATGCTGCAAAAGCAAAAGAAACTCTGCATAAAAGTTCTAAATCGAACGATTTGGACGAAAATAGAACAGCCAGTAATGATGATAGGGGAAAAGAACAAGAAATGAAAGATACTCCACCAACAGATACAACAACGACTCCCTTGACTGAGGCTGACAAGGAAGTGTTGAGACTCCAAGGGAAAGTTTTAAAGCTGCAAGAAAAAATAGCTAAATTACAACATAAAGTGGCTGAACTTCAAGGATTAAATGTATAACAACCTTCAATTGTCATCAGTGAACAGCTGATCTGTTTTGAAACAGAAGAATGATACAAAGACAAAATCCATCCCATTAAATGATCCAAGTTCACTTGGTAAATAAACGTCTCAACCTCTTCTGGCTTATCATTTTAGTTTCTAGCTCTCTTATTACTTGTGTTCCTGGTAGTTTAAAGTTTTAAAGTTGCAAACCAGTTTAAACATTTCCAGCACAAAAAGGGGACATAAAGAAAAAAGAAAAAAAAAGTTTCCACCAGAATTTCAAAGCATTTATTTAATTCAGCTACAGTTCTACATCCCCCTAAATAATTCCAAGTGGTTCATAAATACCAGATCTTATTGTTTCACCATTAACCAATCTTAATCATGTGTTACTCCAATAAATACAATTTTTGTAAATACATCATTAAGTGCGACTAGAATTCTTCTCATACTTTCATAAAAAAAAAAAAGGGTTCAACTTCTGAATCAGTAATTCTTACACCTGTATTCCCTGTTTCCTGCCATTAAAGCCAATTAACATACTAAAAATTACACTGTTAACTTTAATGTAGGCCAATTTGTGGCAAAACATAGCTCCTTACATAATTTCACAACCATTTCTAATAACATTTAATTAGTAGTTAGTTGTCAAAATTTTTAAAAGACACACAGCACTAATCCCTTCAGGTATTGAGGTTGACAAATTATGCAACCTCATTGCCTGATGAAAGCTTGGCTAAAAGCAGTCCAAACCCTGTAATCTTAACCTTTTATATCTGTTTGAGAAGACTGCAGTAAGAGAAAAGCAATAAAACTCTATAAATAGTACTTGGATGACACCTATAAATAATTTTTGCCACGCTAATCTTCAGATATGATGGCCACAAAATTGACATTAACACCCCAGGTTGTTTCTTTCTTGTAGTTTTTTTACAAGATTTCTTGGTATTCTTAAACAAATCTCTTTACAAAAGGTTCTTTCTATAGCATACCAATGGCAGTAATACCATACTGATGGTTCAAATCAGGAAGAACATTATTTCAATAAAAAATTATGTGCATAAAGTTTAGTTTGCAAGGATGGTAAAGGACAAATATGTAACAGTTTTTTCTGCACCATCACCTTTCCCTCAGTGGGTTACAGCTCGCACAAGATCTGAAAGAAAATTTAAGGGATATCAATGCTAAAAGAAGAGTGTCCAAAAAGTTAAAACTCTTATGTCCTGGCCAGCAAAAAAAGGCTGCTGTAAGTTTTTCTTTTTTTGATAAGAAAATGGAAACAAAGTGCATAACTGCAACAGCTTTTTGAGCATCTGCAGGAATACAGAAAGAAATCCATGATCACATACTAAAATGTAGATTCTGCAAATAAAAGAAGATACTGCAACAAATTCATATGCATTTCTGACCTGAATAATTAATAGAGCTGCCACCGTCCAAGTTCAAATCCTTTAACATCTGTTGAACTGAAAGAAAAAAAAAACACATTTGTAAACTTAAACTTAGAAAAAAAAATTTTGAAACACACACTGGAACATTGAAAGGAATAAATCATTGTAACAAGAGGGCTACTATTGCCATGGCCAGTTGATAACAGGGACAATGGGTATAGGTATAAAGAATATCATTTTGAAATAGGGATTTTTGAACAAAACAAACCTCATGAAAGGAAGATCACTGGCCAGGAACAATAGTTACTTTGCTGGATTAGGGGAACTAGTTGAGGTTGGTGCATTAGAAAAAATATGAGTACTAGCCTACAAAAGCACCCTGCTTAAATAGGGGTAGTAGGACAAATGAACACTCATAATCTAGGGTAGGATTACTGACTCCTCAAACTTAACAAGAATACCAGTATTGAAACAATAGGGTAAACTATAACCAAGGGGGAATTGTAATGGAGAGACAGAAACAGGGCATTCTTCCATGATTTACAGGCACTAACACAACAAGTATCTCTGTCATTAGAAGAAGGGAAACACCAATTGAAAATAAAAACAAGTAACATCACTGAAATGATAGCAAGTAAATGAAATAACAAAATGGAAAAGGTACCTTATACTAGAAAGAAGTAACATTCACAGCAGAGCAACTTAGAAGCAATTTGTAGGGGAGTATTGGCATAACAAGGTAACCACTAAAATGTGAGAGCCTTGCGAGAAGATAGCGTGTTCAGCTACATTAAAAACAATGTTTGAGTTCTCCCTTCATCTCAGACACAGCTTGTGACAGTTCCTCTTAAAGTTCTGTCCTAGATCTCTAACCCTTAAGTAACATAAAATTGATTGAAAAACATTTACAAGCACAATACTCCTAGTGGGAAGCTAAACCTGTTGCATTGTAAGTAACTGCCATTATGAATCATTTTTGCCAGACACTTATCAAATCTCTTACATTCTGCAGGTGTGAGTTTATCCCCTGTGCCTGTCATTAGATGCTGTAGTTGCTTGCGACTCACAACACCAGTTTTGTTCCTGTCTAAAGCTGTAAAAGCAGCCAAAATTTCACGCTCTGAGTTTAAGTTCTTTTTATGCTGTTCTGCCATCATCTTCAAGAATTCTGGGAATCGCACTTTCTGCTTACCTAATATTTTGTAAATAGGAAAGAGTATTTTCAGGCTCAGATATCAACAGAGACATACAAGTACATAGTAATGATCAGAAACAATGATAATGCTAACATAATAAATCAATAGAGATACTAATATCAATGATAACGATAATTATTAGTAAAAATTTACATCATTATGATGTGGTTACATACATGTATGTAACCAAAAAATATTATACAACTTATAGCTTCAATGAATATTAAAAAAGCAATCTTTATCAGTCAAATAAAAACTTTCGTGGAGTAGTTGGAGTTAATTTCAAAAGAAACTGCTGTATTTTCCTGGAAAGAAATTATGAACTTTCAACTGTTAACAGAATTAATTTGATGAAAAAATGGGTTTCCAAGCATCATAATGCCACTACATTAACTAGCTGAGCAAACTCATTAATAACAAGAAATAATATTGAATTGCATCAAAATTCTTTGTAACCTTTGTTCTATTCCATCGATGCATACACCAATAGCACTGATTAGCACAATTAAATCAAATGGTAATCATTCTTTGGTGTGCTTTAATGACAGACAGAGGTAAGTATGTTTCTACAAGTATTAAATCAGTAACTCTTTTAAAAAAAAGTGGCACTGCTGGCATTGTAACTTCTCATGGCATGAAGATAAGCATAATTAAATAATAAACAGTTCTCTATTTGTATGTTTTGTAGACCAAGTAAAGATGCCTGTGTGTATAAAGTAATACTCCAAGCAGATTTATAAACAAACAATCAAGTTTACATATATTAATTATTGAAAATTTAATCTTTGGTAGGGGATGGAAAAGTCTTTGCTTATCTTAAACTTGCCCCAATATCATGTTAACAATAGTTGCAGTCTTTATCTTACCAGCCTTTTTCATCAGCGCAGCAATTTCTACATGTGTGATATTCTCTCCCAAGGATCGCATGGTCAGTGCTAGTTCCTGTTCAGTTATCATGCCATCACTGTCCCCATCAAACAGTGAGAAGCACTCCTTAAATTCTGTGGAATGATGCAAGAGAAAAATTAATTCAGTTTATTATAAAAATTCTGAGGTTCAACATATTAAATTTGCTTAAATATTGAGCTTACTAATGCCCAGAGGATACTAGGGATGAGGATAACCAAAGCTATGTAAGCTATACAGATATGTGCCACACCAAAGAGAATGGTTGTTGAACAATTTTTATCTGAATACAGATATAGAATTTCCCATCATGGTCTTCAACTCTTAAGATAAAGGAATTTTTCAGGAATTACAAGACAAATACAAGTAACCAAAACACCAAAATACCAGCAACTAAAATTTCCAACTAAATTTTATTAATTTAAAGCATACTTGGATTAATAGACCATGTACAATTTTCAAAAATCAGGTAAGAAATTAGGTATGGATTTTAGAGGTCAGCTATGAAAAACTTGTGGGGAAAATGATGTGCTTTTGTCAATATTAGGTTCAGGATTTTGATGACCAGACAATCCAGCTCTAACAAGGTATTTCAAGGAGGATCTTCTCCCCCTGTCCCAGACCTTGGACTAAAGTTGTGTACCACAAATAACCACCATAATTTCTTTCAATAAATTCTACACCATACCATCAATTTGACTCTCTGTAAACTGTTCCACCTAAAATGAAAACAAACCTGCTTCAACTTGATAGAAACAATACACTTAGCTTGACAAAGAATTCCATTTAATAAAGTAGCCAGTGGGCAAAAACTATTCACCAACACTGAGGTAGCTAGTAAACAATTATTCCACAAGCATGTGTTGGATATGAGATGATAGATAGTAAAAGAGACCTGTAGGGCTGAGTTGGCTGTAATCATCTCATATCCAACAAATACAAGTGGATTAAATAGTTTTAACAAAAATGCCTCAAAATACAGATAAATCTTTCCGACTTTATTTTGTAAGAACAAACAGAATGTTGCAATGTACGAAAACACTTCTGGTTTAAGTGGTCTTCTTGTACACGTATGGTATAATGGCTCAGTTAGCATATAATGTTTATGCCTATGAAAACTTCTGAATTGCATCATCCAATGCTCTAGTTCTCAATAAAAGTGGATATTTACTGAGCTGCTAAGCAGTGAGGTCAATAGCAACCAACACTGAAATGAGTAGTATTTTTATTATATACTAAAAAAGTTCAATAACATGGCATAAAAAGATGTTTTTAACTTATTTATTCATGCAATGACAACAATAATATTTTGAGGCAAAAATCCTGCAGGCATTGCATGTAGGTGAATTGCAAAGGATATTTTGAGTTTAAGTAGCCAATCTAAGTGCGCCTTAAAGCAATATACTGTTTTAGGGATATACTAATCATCGATTATTCACCAGAGTTAAAGTGAATAATGGAGGACATTAACCAAGCTGCAAAGTGGCGAGGCAAATATCAACCACTTTCACCGACATTGAGGTGAATAATTGTTTCAGTATATTGAGCACACAGATGTCAAAAACTTGTTTATTTCTCTAAAAATACCAAAAAATGGTCGGAAATTAAACTCTGGACGCGCAATTCTGTCTCATCAGCTGCTCGAAAATGAATAGTTTTTACTATTCACTTCCGAACCAGCCGAAGCAGCATTAAAAACAAATGAGAAATACATGTGAAGACATTACATAAGTCATCCTAAAGAATTTTCCGAAATGGATAGGCATTTTTGAGAGTGACAGAATATATGCTGGATATCCTCGTAATTTAAACTATTTGATAGCGTAACTATGTTTAATTTATTTAAACCTAAATTGTCTCTAGCTAAAGTCGAGTATTTGCAAATTTAAATTTATTGACTATGTGAAACCGTTTGTGCGATTCTTAGCAGCTAAGTTCATGCTATCTATATATGACAAAGTGATCGTGAAAAATAGTCGATTTACGTTAATAGCACAAAGCTTGATGTAACAGTGTTGCTCTAAAGTGCTGATAATACTTGATTACCGGAATAGTTTTTTATTATTATTTTAGCTTCAAACAAAACTCGACCCTGAGACACAACTACTCTGTTCATATTTGCACACGACCAATAATTTAAGTAAGTCAAATTAACACTTACCATTCTCAACAAAGCACAGTACAGAAAATAGAGCAAGAGTGCAGTAGGAGACAAAATGAAAAGGCAATTTTCCGTATTGATTTTCGGGAGTTACTACATCACGGGCGACGAGCGGGGATAGAAAAAACGACCCAAATATGGGCGGTCAGCGGTGAAACAGCTTTTATACTTCATATAGAGACATATAATTTGTTGTTCCAGACACAATCGTGTTGTAAAGCCGAAATGTTAACAGTTTACTTCACAGTTTAAGCAATTTTTCAAAAGTGTTGATTGAACTCATATCTTTTACTGCTTTAATAAACAATGGTTGCTTCGGAGAGGGAGTCAGTGGCATTCGGAAAGGCACCAAGAATAATTATATATATGGTTTGTAGCTAGCTGCGTGACGTGCGTGACGAAAAAAAAGTATCATGATTTCCGGTTGTCAAAAATGTCAATCAAATTTGGCAGGAACTTGGTTTTCGCACTGTAGTTTGCTTTTCCTGGTAGATTTTGCCATGGATGAAGACCAAAAGCCAACAATGTTAAGAGATTTAGAGATCGACTTTTTGAAAGAACATCTCAATGGCTTTGCTGTTGAAGGCAATTATTGTTTTGGATATTTCAAGGGAAACAGAGTAGAGATGGATGATCTGTTAGTTTCATTTCAGGCATTGAACTCCACGTGTTATGTACTTACAGAAAGCCATTCAAAAGAGAAAAACCACAACAGATTTTCTCAAACAGGTATATAATCTCTCAGTGTTTTAAAGTGCACAGATCCCGGTTTCCTATCCTGACTCTCCTAATTCAGGGATAATTTAATTGGGAAGAATCGCCGTCTTTCAGAGTTTATGGTAAATTTCTTCAAAGGCAGTCTTACGCGATTTGCGAGATGCTGCGTCTGAACTACCTATTTATATTTCATTTTAGTTTCTTTGTGTTTGTTGTAATTGCTGTTGTTATTTTTTTTTATTCATTTATCTCTACCTAAAAGGTCTATTTGGTTTTAAAAAAGCGAACAGTGGCTTCGGTGCAAAGGTTTGGGTCAAAGGTCTGGCTCTTATTGACACCTTTATACGTAAACCGGAAATAAGGTATGTTGCTTAACAACTCTATTTGATTTCATTTGACAGCACCTCCCGTACTTGAAAACAACCGCGGAAATGTCCCCATACAGTTGTTTGGCCACCCCTTTTCAATCTCTAGCAGTGAAACTCGACATTGTATAAATGGATCCACAAAGGTTGGTTACAATTACAGTAAATGGATCAGCAAACATTCAAATTTTAAGTAAAAAAAGAGGTCAATCGAGAAATGATAACGGAAACTGAGAGTCAAGAGGTTGAATTTAAGCTTATTCAAATGGACTGATTAATTTTCTTTTTACGAGGATCAAAATGTTACAGGAGTTTTAAGTTATATGTTTCTTCGAACCAAACATTAGTTTCCAACCTTTCTCGAATACTCTTTTCAGCTGGGGGTGGGGGAGGGGATACAATTGATTGAGATGGCAAACAAGCTGACAATTTCCTCCGTAGATTGCGCATGAAACATCAACTGGACTAAGGTAACGTTCATAGTTATTATTGCATGCTCGTTGAAACTTACCACTAAATGTAATACTTGGTTCAGAAAACTAGTCTCATAGGAATTATGTACCAGAGATCCAATACTGGCTTAGGAACAAACAACTTCACAATCTCTCGCACTTCTCTCGCCTTGTAGGACTCATATGCATAAGGAGAACTGTCTGTGCTTTGGCGCAACAGCATAAAATGGAGTCTAGTGACACCTGTGCCTTAAGTAAACAAGTTGCACTAGAAAGGTTTCGCAACTCCTGATCTCCATGGGTCAATTTCCTGCATGTAAACAACACAAGTTGACTTGCCGAGGGTCCATAATTGAGCGTAGACCGTGTTTATTAAAATCACCATGCAATCTAACAACCGAATTGCGTGAATTTACAACAAATTGTGGAAAAAATCGTATAAAACGCAAAAACTTATATATCAATTTATCCTAGGTATAAAAAGTGTAAAAATCCATTCAATTAGTTAATTATACATAAGTTCGTTTCTGCATCTATAAATAAATGAGTCGGACAGTCTCTTCGTTATGGTGGATGACAACTGATATTTCCGTTTCTTTCTGAGTTTGTTGGAGGCTGGAATTAGGTCTTGGATCTTGCTAGACGGGTTGTTGGCTGTCAACTGAAAGAGTTGCAAAATCAGCTTTTCTTGATGATCTCGTAAGTTTTATATTCCGGCAAGCTGAAGGGCATTTGCGTATGATATCCTCGGGAAAATGCACGAGAGAGCTCTCTTATGGACTTTCTCTTAATCAAATTGTAGATACTTAGTAGCAAGTTATGTAGACTTTCACTCAACAAAACGAGCATTGTGATTGGTTGATTCCTGGTCACGTGCCTCTGATCAAATTCAATTGTATTCCGACCGCCCACGCGCCCACCACTACACCATAATGTAACCACTCAACCGTCAACACCGCCACAAGACACACTATGCAAAGGAATTTACTTCAACGGGCGTTGTAAAATGGCAGCGCGACTTCCTAGCGCCTGTTCTCATCCTCCGAGAAACTCTTCAATCTTTCGCCGTCGTCCTACAAGAGGAAGAAGGGCCAGTTTGAAAGCTAAAGCAGAAGAAAAGAGGAAGAAATTTAATATTCAAGTTATCACTTTCAACAGGCATTTATATGCAAATTCCAAACTATAGCGCGGATTGAATATAAATAATGTGATTGCAAATTCCAACACAGAGAAAGCAGATTCAAAAAACAACCAATACCCGCTTATCCCATATCCCGCCCTCGAAACGTAGCATGTCCCGGTCTCGCTTTCTTGTTTTCATCCCGCATCTCGCCTTTAAAATTTCTCGTTTCCCACATCCGGCTAAACCTATGCTGGACCCTCTTTCCGTCGTGCGTCAAGAAGAGGCTTGTTCGGAAAGGGTTTTACTCTCCTACTATAGAGGGTCCCTGTAGGTCAGCCGTTTAATATAAAAACGATTGCTTGAAACATCATAATTGGGAAATGATGTCCGAATCCAAGGTTATGGTAAAATGGACTACTCTCAATAATATTTTTTTGAATTAAAATCCATGTACGCGGGAACAATTCTTGTCACGCAATACCTGAACCAAAGGATCTAAGTGACCTACGGCCGACATTTATAGTACTCGTCAAAATGCGTAGTAACCTGGCTAGCTGGTCGCTTGGACGAATATCGACTTCGTTCGGGCAAAACATACAATTCGATTGTCTGTTTCCTTTGAAAGGTTTTTCACGTGATGGGTTGGCAGGTCGATTCCAGTTGGATGGGTCTGAGCTAGACGAATATCTGGTGTCGTTAGCATTAAGATGTAAATAATCAGAGAAGCATTTTTCCGCTTTCATGCATCACATGTACACTTTTGTGTCGAGCTGATGTGGTGTCTTTACCGCAGCGACTGATATCTGTAACAGGGCTGAAAAAATGACCGTATAAACCACCAGACTTTGCTGGCCGAAAAGGCATATTTTTTGGTTGTTTTTTTAATTTCGCGTTTTGAGACAAGCAAGAGGAGGCGTGCACGGATGATCTGAGCTCTGCCCCCTTCCGTCACAATGAAATAAAGCCTCGATTTGAAACTTGGGGTCCCCTTTGTGATGGGTATTATTGGAACATTCTTACGGTGCTCTTGATATTCATTTTGCAGAATGGCGCGTTCAGGTGTGTTTGTGTGCTTATTCCTTGCCGCATTCGTCGGAGAATTTTGCCTTGGTCATGAGGAAGAGGTAGCTAAATGCATCGATGGCTCTCATCATAAAGAGAAACCGTCTCCTGAAGGGCAGGACTATGTTGAATGTCAACCTTGGAAGGAAAAAACGTGCTGTACTGCAGGCTTCACCGCTCAACTTAAAAAAAGTAATGTAGAAGTTTTGTATAATTTTTCATGGAACCACTGTGGTAATCTCTCTAAGGTAAGAACATCGACATCAATTTGTTTGATAACAACTAATCATTATTTTTGTGCAAGTTTTGTGAGGATTGCAAGTTATGTTATATTCACATTCCGAAAGCACTATTAACTCATTAATGATGTACAACCATTATAGAACCGCGTGGTTGTGAGAGACCTTCGCGCCCATTCAGCGGTGACGTTTATCAAGCTATTACAATTAGCATATCAATTACTAAGAGCTTTTCATCTAATCGGGTGTAAATACACCGGCTCCCTTAAGTTAAGATTAATTTTTTACTGTAAGTAATTTTTGTTTACATAACTCTTCAGTTATTACAGTGATATCTGCTTTTATTGTGGATAGGAGGCCACTTTGCGGTAATAAACTCTTCAACAATAACATTCTCGTAAGTCACTCTCCGGATCACCGTCGCGACATGAGCCAGCGTGTGAGCAAATTTTTGTTTTTCCAACTTTCACGAGGAACTGTCTTTCGTTGAAGTGAAAGCAAAGTCCGACGATAGAACGTTTTCTGCTGATGAATCGGAAAGTATTTTGATCGTTTGTGCCTTGATTGCATCATTGAAATCACGTGAAAAAGAGCAATTCATCATGCACATTGACTTGAACGTCAGATTCGTCTGGCTGCTTTCTTTTGAATTTTGGATTACCACGAGTTTTTCTTTCAGGGTAATTTAGTGTTATCAACTGAGTTGATAACGTAAATTGGCTACCGTAAAGAGTTTAAAGACTGACGTTTCGACCGCTTGAAAGGTCAGCTTTTAAACTCTTTACGGTAGCCAATTTACGTTTAACTTATTAACTCAGTTGATAACACTTAATTACTCTGTTATACTCTCCCACCGACGCAGCAACACAGTTTCTTTAGAAAATTACTCCCTTTATTTATTTTTCTTGCGTAACATAAGATGATTCAACATAACATGATTCAACTTCGTTGGTCAGAAAAGGAATAAATATTTACCTACATGAAAATTATTCGTAAAAAAAAGCTCAGTTCAGCAAATCTAATCAGATGGGTTCTTATTATGGGCCCTTATTTTGTTTATTTTGCGGAAAAATCTGTCACCAGTTCCCTGAGACAAGTGCGCCCGGTGATTTTTAGATCTACCAAATTTGTCAAGGCTTACTGAACTTCAGAGACGCCGTCGTCCTGCCTCGGAGCAGGACAAATTTCTTTCAGGCGTGAAACCTGACATCTGTCAATTTACACGTCATGATTTGATGGAAATGTCAATCAAAAAAACTTGATATCTATTTTTAGTCGGAGTACCCGCCGAAATTATTTCTCAGATGCGCGGCAATCAAAAGGTGAAGATGGAAGATTCGTACTTCGGTATGCTGCATAACGATCCTTACTCAGAATAAAACTATTACGGTTCCCAAGTTTACGTTCCAGCTGCATCTTCAGGGCCAAGTATTGTTCAATTTATATCGGCTAAAGTAATCGACAGCGCTTTCTTTTGGAGCCTGTATTTTTATGTGTCCTATCGATGGCGCCTGCTATGTTTGGTAGATCCGAAAATTCTTCGAACGTTGCGATGGAGGCTCAAAGTTAACAAGTACTTTGTCGTGTCTCACTGCGCCTACGCTTGACAAATTTTGTCGAGATTTTTGGTAGAGCCAAACAAATATTGACAGTCCAGTGCGTTCGGACTATGTCACGCTACGTCCCCCGACAGCAAAGGAAACTTTTTTCTTCGAACGTTGCGATGGAGGCTCTTGTCTCATGTGATTGACACATGTGGCTAACAAATACTTTGCTGTGTCTCAGTGCGCCCACGCTTGACAAATTGAAAATTTGGCGGAGACAAATTTTGTCGAGATTTTTGTTAGTGTCAGTCCAGTGCGTCCGGACCCTATGTCACGCTACGTCCCCCGACAGCAAAGGAACCAATGTCAACACGTCACAAAGTGCACTATTATGTTTCGCACGAGTTCAAGAAAAGAAATTCACATCCGAAGTACAATGAGCCTGTATTGTGAATTATTTAGCGTTTATGCTTTTTGTATAGAATAACCGAGATATTTCGAGCGCCCTGATTGGTCAAAAACCTATCGTTTGATCCACGGGTAACCTCATACAAAATTGAGGCAATTTATTTTTATTTTATGAAAGCAATAGACCGCTCTTTCTATCGGTCTACCAGCGTCGTATTAGCTCACGCGGAATGTTAGGAGAACACTTGCAAAGTTTTTTAAATCATCCGCCTCCCGCTCGTGGGTCACAAAATTTTTTTGTATTCTCCCAACATTCTCGAGTAGGTTAAATACGACGCTGGTAAACCGATAGAAACTAAAAGTGTGGTCTCTGAGCGATTCTTTTAACGATTCCAATCGCTGTAGTCGAGAGTACTGGCTGCCTGAGTTGTCTGACCTTAACTCCCATACTCGAAATCAAATGGCGATTATTTTGACATTACTCTGGGTCCATAGAGATCATGCGCAAGCGATACTCTTTCTACGTTTTATCTCTGCTTTGGGTTACAACTCCCACCACCACGTCCGCTTGCTTACCAGTTTTCGCGCACCCGCTCTAGTTTTTCACCCGTCTCTAACAAAGGGCTGACGTTTCGCGAAACGATAGCTTTAAAAACCCTCTGCGGTGGCTCATTTACATTGTTAACTCAGTTACGTTATAAAACCAAATTATCTTTTAAAACCTCCACCGATGCAGCACCACAGTTTCTTTACAAAAATTAACCCCTTGAGTTAATCCACTGACTGAGAACCTAGCATGGCCTACACCTCATCGGTACTACTTTGGCTGAGGGAATTTCTCGACTATCCAGTTGCCCATCAACGTTCCTGACAGTATGTCGCGAAGTGTTTAGTTCGCTAGTTATGATTTAGTAGCCATTTGTATATATTAAGCAGTTAGTTAAGATTTCAATTCAAAGTCTGCAATTATTTGGGTTTTAGCTATCACGGTGAGATTTCTGATTTTGACAGTCTTGTCAAACTTCCAGTGGTGGACGTGCTTCGCTTGTCTACTGTTCTTGCCTTGGATCCACACTAAACTTCTTGATTTGGCTTTTGCAGTCAATGATTGATTGTTTGATCGGAAGTAGTGAGAATGTTGTTGTTCATTCTTGAAAATATTTGAGTTAGTGTTCTGACAACAAATGTTTAATTAGCCCCGAATGTCCACTCATAGCGAAGACAAAGGCGTGTTGTGTGGAGTTCATAGACAGTGGGTCAAAGTCAGAGACACAAGAGTTGATCAGTCAGTCAGAGTAACTGAAGGAGTAGTCAAAGAGGAGAGTAATGAGGGAATTGAATCCGCTGTTAGAAGAATTGTAACGGAGAAAAGAGGGTAAAGAAAACAGAATGGGATATGCCTGTAGTCCTTGGTGCCTTCTGCGAAGCGTGGTACGCTCTGTAGCTAGTTTCCCCTCCCAGCCAAGCTGAAAACTTTTTTTTTTTGTGGTGCTTTCAAAGTATGACAGAAGCTGCGGAAGCAGCAGAGATGTGGATGTTAAGACAATGGAAATCGCATTTGTGGTCTCAATATTTTGGTTTAACAGAGGAAACTGTCTCAAAATCTCAATTACTTGCGGCACCACTTTTTAATCTTCCCATCAGAACTTAGGGAAAGCACAGTAAAGCTTATTTGACTGGATTTTATGTGAAATAAACAGCGCTAAACAAAGCAATCGTTGAATCACGTTTTGAAAACAAATGTCCCCTATGGAGGGTAACACTCCTCTCACTGTATACTAGTAGAGAATATTTGATCTTAAAGGATCCTAGTCAAAAACGCCTCTGTTTTTGTTTACCTTCGGGGCGGACGCACTTGGATGATAGACCACAATGGCAATTTCACGAATATAGATAGCATAGAAAATGACAGACCGAGCGCGCAATGTCTTGTTTTTGACTAGGATCCTTTTAAAAAACACTCGTACCCCTGAAACCAAGTGAAAATAATTATATTCTTTTGCTTAAACTAAATGTTTTTTTTTCTTGAAAAGGAGTGTGAGCGGTACATAAAACACGAAGAGTGTTTCTATTCGTGTGAACCTAGCCTTATCAAATGGCATACCTCTGGTGGAGGCGTAAAAGGGGTTCCAATATGTGCTGACTATTGTGATAAATGGTACGATGCCTGCAAAAACGATATGACTTGCGCTGAAGATTGGCTGGCGGATTTCAACTTTACTTTAAGCCAGTACTCCTGCCGAACTGATTCCAAATGTCTCAGATTTAGCGAGGTAATGTCAACTGTTAACAGCGATTAAGTGAAGGGCTGGCTGGTGTATGTTAGTCTTAGCTTGCGGTGGGAATCCTTGACAAACAGTTCTTTGAACAGGGACAAATGGTCTTATGAGACCATGGGGTCGCCTTCCCGACTTGCAGGTTTGTGGAAGCCGCACGAGAAAAGAAGAGAAATTTAGTGTCAGATTCTCTCGCAAATCACGGGAATCAGTCACGGTGATTTCCTTTTACAAATTCTTATGAAAGCTTCAATTTTCTTTCGTTTATTTTGCAATACAGCGGTTGTTTTGTATATATTTTCCTTAGAAATTTTAGGCGGGAAATTGGCGCGCGGGCGACCAAAATTGATCTCTTCGCGAATCCCCTACGTTTTACTGCTGTGTTGTGACAGTTTCTCAAGCCTGAGTTTAGAAAACATGAGAAGAAGTCATCGTCAGGGTTTTCATGAAGACGACTTCCGCTTTCATAATCGAAACGTAATTTCCTGTTGTTGATAAGTTGTATTTTCATTTTCATTTTCAGCTGTATAAAGACGGAGAAGGATTATGTAACAAAATGTGGGGACAATCATTTATGTACGAAAAGAGCAACAATTGCATGGTGATGTGGTTCGATGGCAAGAACCCAAACGAAAAGGTCACGCCTGATACGACCGGTGCCGCAGTAACAAGCTACCAGTCTAAGTTCATCAATATAGCTTTGGCTCTAAGCTTAATTAAATTACTATGTTAAGTTTTCTACTACCAGTGATAAACATGGTATACTTGTGTGTTTTCCGAACTGTAAGTCCATCCCACTGTATGTCGATCACACAAGCTGTAGAACCTGGCGTACAATTGTTTAATTTTTGTGTAATTTCTATTCTGTTAATCCTACTTCTACTTTCATATTGCGTAATTTATGAAATAACTTAATTTTATTTTTTTTAATTTTTTAAATTTTAATTGTAATTGATGTATTTTAACAGGGAAGAGCCACCTGTTTTATCTGTTAATAAACCATTATTATTATTATTATTATTATTATTATTATTACTTTACATCAAATTTTAAATTTGCGTCGTCAACATTTTATTCAATCTATAGCCCAACAATGTATCCGCTCTGTAGGAACGCACGAGCAAAAAGGTGGAGATCCACTAAGGTTGACGCTGACTACAAGAATCGAGCTGCTCTGGGAACGAGAATGGAACGGTTTAGCTGTAATTCTGATTTGAACCTTAATTAAATTAAAAAACAAATATAAGAAGGGAAAAAAATAGAGCCAAAAAAGATTGTGTAGAAAGTCGCTGAATTGTTTCAAATTTTGCCTATTAATTCATTGGATACCGTTAGTTAAATTTTGCGCAAAATGGTGGGTACCAATTAAAGGAAAATACTTACTATGTTAGTGGAAATGTTCTTTTGGGCACGGTAGTTTTGAAAGTAAGTTGAGTCACTTTGTGCAAGAAATAAATATAGTAATAAACGAGGTTTACTGGGTTTGCCCTAGAATTAGTAACCGCTGTGCTTTCTTCGTGTATTTGATCAAATTGTGCAGTAATATATTTTAAAAAATGCGTTAAATAGAGAGAGAGATTTTTTAGTTGAAGTCGTTGATGGCTTCTAACATGTTCTATTATTCGGTATTAATTTTCCGGTAGACACGGTCTCCATTTCACGTGCAGTTTGAGGTTCTTTATGTAAGTGTTACTGTAACAGCTGAGTACTAGCCTGCGAGAGGGCTCTCTTTGGCCCTGCGACACAAGCGGCGGACCCTCGTGTTTCGCGCCGGACGACTGTGCATGCAAAAAGTCTGCGAAGGTCCTGGGAGAAGTTTGGTATACCACACCCCTAAGGGACCTTCCACACACCTTTTTCTCTTGCTGTCTCGCATCTCGAGGGGCTGCGCGCGCCGTAGCGCCAAACGTAGTTTGCTTGAATTCTACTTAGGAACCTGTTAACCCATTCCTCATAAAATACATGGTTCGGAAGAAAGGTGTTTCCGAATAAGGTATCGCACAAGGCTGAGCTTCAGAACTTCTCTCTTTGAATGACTTCCTTCCACCACATGAAACAAGTTTAATACACCCCACAGACTCGAGCACTCACCCGCTCCCCCTTGCCTGCTCCTAGCCTTTCACACGTTCAAACTCCAAAAAAAACGCTATCCATGACGGGTTTCACTATTTAGAGGCAACAGTGAAGAAGGAAGGGGGGGGGGGGGAAGAAGGTGGAAGAGGTATCCCAACTTCAAGAAGCGAAGGTTGTGATATGTAAAATTCATAAACAAAACAACAACACCAGCATACCACAAAACTACCACTGCTTTAATGCACTTATTTCCTACGACATTCAATTCTAATAATTTTAGCTTAAGCCACACACTTTATCATCGTAATAAGATCACCCATTCAAACATTGAATTATTAATCACCATTTCAATTACCTGAAATATCACTCAAATGAATACCATTTAATATCCTAAAACCTGGCTTCATCTACCTAAAGAATGCTACTTTACAATTTACCAACTGTTACAGAAATATATTTCAATTTAATATCAGATTAATTTAATTAGGAAGCATTAAACTTTACGAAATGAGGGATCTGGAATTCCAAACTGATGCTTACCACAATTTTGAAAATCCCAGAGCCAACAAATCATAGTTTTAACGATTTTTCGAGGTAAAATTTTTTTTATAGTTCTAATTTTCGCTCAAGGAAGGGTAAGACTTGTTTTTATATGTACATGTATGTATGTACATCTTTCGTACTTATAAAAATGAGAAAATAAATTCCAGGGGGTTTTTTCTTAGACAATTAGTTTCAATTTGTTTATAAACGGTGACAATTGCATTTTTAAGAAACATACTCGTTTTTCCTCCTCGTAATTTGGTCATTGGATAATTGTAATAATAACGAGAACTTGTAGTATGGAATGTAATTTCTCTGATGAAAACCATCAATTTTCACAATATCATATAATGCACGTGTCACGTGTAAGTCACTTGTTTTTGTTTGTCTTAAATGCGTTGAAAATGGAAACCATGTTTAAGTTATCTTGATTCTGAGTGAAAGGTTTTTGTGCTGAGTATAGTGAAAAGTAATTTGGTTTTGTAATAGCTGTCAAACAATTCTCAGATATAAAGACCAGATGGTATGAAATTTTATGACAAACAGGCTATAAACTTTTACTTCACCAATAAATGAATCTAATAGAGCTCCAGAGGAGTGATTTTTTCAACACTGTCCCCTTGCCTTCCTTCCTGTGACTGCAATAACATTCCATTGCATTCAAGTTCTAAGATAAATGACAGAAAAAAATTCCTCTCTAAATCACTATTAACGAATATTGGATATATAATGGATTTGTATGTGATTTGACAAAATGCTAATAATTATCTTGCATTGGTAAATGAAATAAACTTGTTGTGCTTATAAGGATCATGTGATGCATACATGTAGTACATGGAAATTAATATCCAAAATGTGAACAATAAAAAGTGCAGTAATGTAATAATGGCTAATAATGGAGTTTTACTAAAACATTTACATAGTTGAAAATATGTACCGACTAATAAAGACACAATTGGAAACTAACACACAGCAGAAATTCTGCAATTAGCTTGTTAAGGTATCTGACATTCCTTACATTACACCCATGGGTTGATAAATATTTTCCTTGCAAAATTATTCATCTAGGAATATTCATGTGGTTAGTTCTGAATTTAAATGACATATAACATTTCTATTAAACTAAATCTTATGGCTACATCACAAAGATTTTTAATTCATATTTAACTTATTAACTAGACTACATAATTATACACTTTTCCAACAGGTTAACAAAATGTTTCATTTGATTGGACTACACTCACTACAATTTTGTTAACCAAAAAAAAAGAATTCATTACACAATTAATATGTTAAGTTCTTGGGTTTGGTTAGCAGCCACATACTCACAATCTGGATATCGTATACTAAGTGCAAACTTTGCACAATGTAATATTATTAGAAGATGCTCGATGTACTGTCAAAACCAGCAGTGATTAGAAAAGGAAGCTGAACTTAACAATGCATAACATTTTACATACAAAAGCACTCAAATTTAACCAAACACATTCATTGTTAAAAGTATTACTCTTGTGTAAAGAAATCTTAGCTGCTTAGCACAAGTACAAGTAAAAACTGTATGAATGTATTGAATCAAACTGTGAACACAGTTACACAACATTAAAATTATTCACATCTTAAAAACTTCTCAGTGGTATAGAGCACAATTTTATCCAAATTGTGGTCCTGTTGTGGGAGGCTGAAGTCTAAAAACTGATGAAAGAAAAGGATAAAACATCAGTTTTACTATGCCAAGAACCCATCAGAATAACACAACAATTTAACAGTTACATCAGGTCAAGGGTTACTTCACAGAGTCAGTAATAAACTTTTTAAATCTTCAGTTGTCACCAGAATAGAGTAAAAAATGAAGTAATTGTTCATGTAAAATGAGCAGGAATGCTAACTTTTGAAATTTGATTGTGGTGGCAGCTAAAACTGGTTACATATCTGATATGCAAAATAATGGATCCATTGTAGTGTGAACCAAACTTGCACCATTTATTTTCTGTAAAATGATCTTGTAGTACTCAGCAGTGTAGCACCTGCATGTTATATGGACATTGCAGTGAATGTCTCCTCAGAACAGGTGTCACTGTAACATTTGAACTAAAGAGGGTTACACTCATAATTGGACTAGACTATGTAAATTTGGTACACTTACATGTTAGTAGGCTGTTTCACATCAGAGAACCATTCTAAGGACTGGCTGGTTTGGCGTGTGGTTGCCTGTGTCGGAATTGCTCATTGCCATGCAGAACATGCTCACCATTTTCTCCCCTTCTCTTGATACCATTACCATTATGCATGAGATCAGCTTCAGAACAAACACAAGAATACTAACATAAATTACCAGAGCTTACCATGATACACTTTATTATTCAAAACTGTGTTTTCAGATTTCTACTGAAAAAAGAAGTACATATATGTGTATAATATAGTTTGTGTAGATAAGAAAGAAAGAAGACAAACTCTTAATTGTTCCAACATTAAATATGATGTTTTGGCCTGTGGCCTTCTTCAGCTACATACAGGTGAAAATCAAAAAGCTAAAAATCACCAAGGACTGTGACATCACAACAGTGTTTATATACTCTCATCAAAACACACCAATCAACCAATGAGAGCGCACATATTATCTCAATTATTCTATAACAAAATTTTTGATGCACTTCACAGGGATGAAAAGTTCTAGCAAGCCTCACCTTTATCACCAGCTGGTTCATTTATTTCTCCATTTGCTACATTCCCTCCATTACCAAGCTGTTTGTCTTTCTCAGGGTGCTTAGGGATCTCACGGGTATCTTCTACACCAGTGCTCTTTCCAATAATTATACGAACTATGAGCCACACAATGAACGTAAACCACCAAATGTTCATTAAAAATAGCGCCCACAGCATTGCATTAAAAAAGAAGTAAAAAGGAGCAGTAGGAACGATTGGTCGAGCATCATAGCCACAAGAATGAAGTACTTTTAATGGGTAGAGATACAGGCGACAATATAACCTAGAAGATAATAAAAATGCTATTTTGTCCACTTCAATATGTATTATAGGTGGTTTTTGGCAGCTCCTGTAAGAACTGTAATATCTTATTGATATAAACTGCTATAATTTACACCGATTCCAAGCCTTGAGAAAGTCATAACTGCACTTATGTAAAATAACCGTAATTTTATGTGTTTTTGATATTGCCAATCAGCTACTGACATGTCACTTTCCTTGTCAGGTTGATTAACAAATGACTAAGTGTTCATCATTCTCAAAAAAGGTTCCTTGATGACTTTTCTCATCAGTAGAGGCCTATAGTATTTATGTAATAAACAAAATACAGGTAATACATGGTTGCTTGTAGATAGAGAATTTCTCTTCTCATAATCAACTCAATATCTTACTGTTTTGCAGAGCTCACTGATGAGATAACAAATTGAACGCTAACTAAAGTTCCATATCTATGTGCACCCATAAGCTTTTCTCTATTTATTACTTTTGATTAATCTGCCTCACACTGTGGTCACTTTCACTGTGAATCAAAACATCATAACTGGTCACTAAGAGTCATGCAAAGAGATCAACCTAATCAGAAGTGACTGCATTCTGACTGAGGCAAATGAAAATATTTAGCATGCTAAATTTACAATACAAGAGAAAAAAAACTATAAATAAACAAATTAAAACAACCTCACCAAGTAATGGTACTTACCATACCAAAACAAGACACAAAACTCCTACATTACTGAGTACATCAGGCACTAGATGATATTTTCCTCCACGTGACTTGAAAGCAACACAGAGTTTGCTGAACTCCAGAAAAATATCAGCAATGTCATGAAGAAACAAAACTATAACACCAATTCTGTAGTACCTGTAGAACATAACATAATTATTCAGTATTTTTCCTTTGAATATCTTATGTCAAAATGGTGGCAAAAAGTCAAGGAAATTACATGTACATACATGTTTGCATGTACGTACATCCAGTATGTACTGAAAAAGGTTCATAAACTAAAACTCATCATTAGTAAAATCATCATTATAATAAGCCCTGCCAGAATCGAAATTCTCAAAATCTTACCTTACAGCAAATGAGAAAAAAAGTAAGCCATTTGCTATAACATGATGTACAAGCATAAGATTGGAATCCCTTCTCCACTGATCCATGAACACTGTGGCATACATGGAATGGAAATAAAACCCAGTTTGTACCATATAAAGGATGTAAATGTCCTGAGAAACTGGCATCCCTTTATACCATCCTGCAGACAAACATTGAAAGAATATTAAACACTTCTGGCTGAAGTAAGGCTACGATCTTGAACAAAAACACCACATTTTTCTTTGTGAATAAATAGTAGTGGTTCTGGTCCATTCACTGGGCTTGCTGAACAATTTCTCTGCTTTCATCTGATACAGCCTATGAATAACATTTCACACAGATTTGCAGGATGAGTATGAATATCAGTTTTTTTGCATGGTAAAGGCCATAAAAACTACATTTGTAACACTTTACAATCATTATGGGACATTTAGCTGCTAACACATATTTGTTTTCTTTGTTGTCAGCAACTGAAAGAAAATGTTATCAACAATTAATTTAACTCCCAGGTCACATTTGCAATTCTCCTTTCTGTCAACTACGCAATTCTTATAACGTCAGTTCAAAAAATTTCGAATTAAATCAACTAATTATCCCCAAATTTATATTTTTACTTATTCTCACCATTTGTCTGATTGATATTGTATTGATATTGTATTGATATTGTAACGAAAAATTATATCTTGGTCACTCATGGGAGTTAAAGAGTTGATACAATGTAAGGATTCTACATATTGGACTGTTCAATGGAGTTGTTGATAACTTACTCAAGTTAGGAAGAGCTTGAGACCTAACATTCACTGCCAATGCAGTGTTGTTTTCAATCTCTTTTATACCCTCTTGGGTAGTGTATACCCAAGGGTTATTTTTAATCTCTTCTATACCCTCTTGGGTAGTATATACCTGAGGCTTATCTTTAATCTCTTTTATACCCTCTTGGGTAGTGTATACCTAAGGGTTACTTTTAATCTGTTCTATACCCTCTTGGCAAGTATATACCTGAGGGTTATTTTTAATCTGTTTACCCTCTTGGCAAGTATATACCTGAGGGTTATTTTTAATCTGTTCTATACCCTCTTGGGTAGTGTATATCTGAGTGTTATTTTTAACCTCTTCTTTACCCTCCTTACATGGCCAACACGTAAGACGATTTTCATATGAGTGAATTTGTTCACAATGACCTAAATTGTAATTATGGTGTTTTAGACCAGCTTCTCCCCTGTTACAGTCGTTTTTACAAGAGCGATGTCTTTGGAAAAGCTAAAAATGCTGTTCCAAAACTTTCGCACATAAAAGGTCATTATAAGAATAGTTGACCATCAGTTGAAAGCAATGTGTATTCTCTGGATTATCTAATCAACACTGTTTCTGAACTTTAAAAGTTCTGTGTAAAGAATGGTTTGTTGGAGTTAACCTTTAATGGGCCTAGGTGGGGTGGGGAATTGAATCAGTACTGTCAAGTCTTTCCAGTAGAACAAACAAGTTTTATCCTTTAATATGGATGAATTTCAAAGTGGAAAGGTAACTTTTGCAAGCAGATGGCTTAGGAGAAAAGGTCTACAATGAAGTCATCAGTTGCTAATCTTACCTCTTACAAAAAATTGACAATCAAATCCGGCAAGAGAGTGGGGAATTTGAACACAATTTTGGTTCCAAAGGTGGGGATTTGAACCAACTAATCTTCAAAAGTTAAGATGCCTGAGCAGTTGCTTGAGGGGAGATTTTCAGTATTATATTGATTGATGCATTACCTTAATAAAAATGTTCTCTTCCCCCCATCTCATAAATACACAGAAACTAAGAGTAAAACTCCACTGCATAGAAATGAAACTAACCCTTCCAGCAGTTTCTTGTGTCTTGGAAAAAGTTGTATTTGCCATTAAACAGAATGTAGGAACAGTAGCCAAATGTGGAGCAGTAATATAAAAACTTGAAAGCATTTTCTGGAGACTTCTTTTGATCTTTTTCAGAGAGCTGACACCATTTGAAAAAAGGCTGCAAGTAAAAGTAAAAGAACGCTGTTTACTACCAAGTTTAAATTAAAATTACATTTATTTAAGTTGGTATACACGTCTAGTACAAAGGTATGGTTTGAAACTCTTCTCATTCAGGGTCTAAAATAGGGTTTCTCTCAATAAATTTTACAGTAGAAGCAAAGGAATGGTGTTACTTTCAAGAAACAAAAGAATGCTCTTCCTTACTGAATAAAAATGGCTCTGGCCATTGAAATTTTACTAGGGAATTATTTGTGGTCACCAGTGAATTCTTCAATTTCTACTAGCTAGAGAACACCCTACTAAAATAGCAACCACCTAGTTTGTGACACTTCTAGAAAGAAAGAATTTTCATGCTTGTTGCCACTAGATGAGTTGCTAATAGTTTTATCTGCATTTTATACAAGGGTATCCAGTCAACTTGCCATCATGAAAAACCACTACATGAGTCAACTTGCCACCTGTGGCCAAATGACTCAGACACTATATGTAATGTCTCAATTATGGAACACTAACCATTAAAGGCAAAAAGAATAATGAGTTTCAGTGTTACATGAAAAAAAAAAAAACACATAATATCACAAAGATTATGATAAGTTTACAAGCAAAGAAACCAGAGTGAATTTCACCAAATGACTTATGCCAATGCCTGGTATGAAATGGTATGAAACTAACATGCTAAGATATAGTAATACATTGCAAAATTAACTGGAAAATTAAGTATTATCAACTAAGTTGATATCGTAAATTAGCCACCATAAAGAGCTTAAAAGCTGATGTTTCAAGCATTAGTCCTTTATCAATCGCTCTGACAAAGGGCTCACGCTCAAAACATCAGCTTTGAAACTCTCTACAGTGGCCAATTTATGTTATCAACTCAGTTGATAACACTAAACTAACTTACCCCCTTTATTGCAAAATTAGCTGGACACAAATGTGGCAAAATTTAACAGGAAGGGGCTCAGCACCCATTCTCTGTGTTATGCAAAACAAAAGCCGATGTGACCCTCAACACAAGTTGTGTTCTTATGAACATAATTCAAAACCAAATCTAATGAAACTTACTTCGAATGAAAGCATACATCTTGCATTTTACTATTTTTCAGTTGGATGGTACAAAATTAATAGTGCACACAACAGAAAGAGTCTGTAACAATGATTGTCAACAACTCAATTTACCATCTCTGGCATGTTGACTCTCATTGGTGGTGGCAAGTAGATGGTAAACCTCACAGAAGTGGTCATGATTCATAACAAATGATACTAACATGAAATACACTCACATGTTGTCAACTGTGTCACACACTAAGTTCTCCATGTTAACTTACAGCAAGTTTAAAGCCATAAGATGCAATAACTCCATCACCTCTACAAAAGGGTTTTAATCTATACTTTTTTACTAGTGATCAGTTACCATAAGATGAGTTTCAAGCAAGGAAATTACTTAACTGAGAGGAGAAAATTTTCAGGATCAAACTCTTCAGTAACAAAATAGGTCCCTTTGGCTGTGTCTAAATACCTGGCAGCCAGGTACGGTCTTGAATGGACTTAAAGTCTGGCACTCAAAAATTCTCATAGAATATCCACTGAAAGGTTCTTTGAAACTTCTAGGCAGTATAAGATGTTTGTGTAACAACATAGAGCAACTCAAGAAATTATCTTGATTTTGCAGCAGAAAAATTCTTCAAGCTTAAGCATACCATAGAATTCCTAGGTCAGAAATATTCTTTAGTGTTGAAAACCAAGCAATTATACAGCATAATAATAATTATAATAATAATAATAACAAGTATACAAAAGTTCAGTAAATTTGTTGCCAGGCATTTAGATAAAAAAGTTTAGTCCTTTAGTCATGGATATTCTGATTCTTCAGTTGCACATAATTATAGTATAATCTCACTTTCCATTTTCTTTTATAAGCACTGCATTCTGTTGCCCTTCCTCAAACAAGATCGCAACAAAAACATGGCTTTCCAGTGATTACACGCCACAGTCGATGACAGCACCAAGGTCACCATCATTTCAAACAAGAATAATAGATGAAGTCTACAGGGTGATTAAGAGATTAAGACAGTGCTCTGCTACAATAGATCGCTCTCAAAACAAAGGATCTTGGTTGATCAAGTGCTGCTAATTAACTTTTAACATTTTATAAGACTGGTGCGCCCGTTGAGTTCAGTGGGTTAATTATGTATAGCGTTCCGGAGTTTGAATACGGTAACAATTTGTTTACCGAAGATACATTTTCTGACACGTGCTGATATCTTGTTCAAAGAGCAAAATTTTGGTGGCTCTGCGTAAGCCATAAAAAAGGCTGTTGTACATGCAGTATGGCTCTTTTCAAAGTAGACTGAACAAGTTTAAACTCGAAGTAAACATAAATTGTGATGATGTGTGTGCAGCTGATCGGGGTTTTTTTCTAAAGCAAATTTTCATCTTAATCCTGTCATCTTTGATTCGTTCGCAACAGCGTTTGTTGTCGTATAACTACGTGTGTGTTAAGTGTTCTCTTAGGCCTGAATCGTGTTTTAGTATTGTCCTCTAGAGCCCTCGAAGGCAATGAGTTCCCTCACACCCGAAGGCAGTGGACCTTGAAGATGTTTACAAAGTATTGATTCGACACAACGACTACGCTCACTATTTACGCAAATATCAAAGATCACTTGGAGCGAGTCCTTGTAAAAACTTAGAGAGTTAAGAATAGGGTTCGTTTTAAATATTTTAATCGACAAAAGAGGGGTAAAAATAAATGCACAGTCAATAATTTTGTTGGTTATAATGTTTTGCACGACCTAACCACATCCCTGCCACGGACGGATATGCAAAGTGCAGGGGCGTTTGTGTCATATACACTCGGTTACAGCGGTCAAAACAATGTTTTTATCCCTACTAATGTAAAATTTAATCTGCCTGAAAGTATGGGGAAATAAATTTATGTGATCGAAACTCTGATGGTTGATAAGTAACTCATAAATGACCTTTGCGCTGTATGTGCTAAACTGAGCGTCTTCTAGAAACTAAGCTTTTGATCGAAACTGCTGATTGATACATGCTTTCGCGACAAGCTTCCCGACTTGCATTAGTACTATTGAAAGCTACAAGATAATTGAGTAAATTACCGGAAAATGAACCAGAGAAAGTGGTAAAAAAAAACAATATTTTCAAATGTAACGATTCATACCTCGAAAATCAGCGTCGACAACAAATACCGCAATATGGTGAAAGCCACGCCAAGAAAAAGACAAAGTAGAATATCTTCGCCAGATATGAAGCCATAACTTGAGATTTCATTAACAAAATCCGTCAGAAATGTTTTTGTTGGGCCTCTCTCCTCCCATTCAATATGACATTGATGCCATATTTTGTTGAAAACCTCCAAGTACCCAACCTCCATGTTTAACGTATTCAGGCAAAGTGCACAATAAGGTTCAAAATATCACAAGTGTCGGGGAGGAGAAAGATATTGTTAGCATTACTTGGTACCACCCTCTGGGGTTATAGTATAGTGGTTATTAAACTGAATAAAGTCTTAATTAGTTTGTCTGATATTCAAATCGAACGACCGCGCACCGCAAGTTCGATTTAAATTCACAGGTATGACTTCAAACCAATATTGCCCGACACATAGGTAAATTAGCATGTCATCACATCCATTTTGAAATAAAAAAATTTGTGCGTAGTTCACTCAAATACAGGATGCTAGTCAGCACAAGTATCTCATTGTCGCTAATCGAAAACTGTAAGGAATTAAAATTCATAAATTTTCTTGAGAAAAAACGAAAGTTTGGGAGACAAAATTTGCAAAATTCGCCAGCCAATGGCTTCTTTGTCTTTCACTTCTGAAATTTGATTGGTTTCTCTTACTAAGCCTTAAAATTCTGACTGGTCGTTTCGCCTTTAGTGTTGCAATTTAGAGCAAAAAATAAAGCAGTTCGCGAAAAAATCCCACTGTTGAGAGCCAATCAGATTGCCAAGATCATCACTGATTTCAAAATGGATGTAACGAATAAAAAAACAACAACATCAAGTAATAAATCTGGGGGTCATACTGGGGTTTATTTTGCGCTGCATCACCCGATCATCACCAGAGCGGAACTCGAATAAATGTGAGAGTCACAGGAATGAAAAGTACTTTGTTTCCGAGGAAACAACTGGGTAAAATTTCCGCACAGCCCCATACTTCATTATGCATTCAGTTCTTGAATAGAGAAAACAATGACTAAAACAATACATTGCCATTGGGAAAACAGATTTGTTTTACAATAGTATGGGGCTGTGCGGAAAGTTTACCTCAACGGTAATTGAATTGTCCGTGTTCTCATCTAAATCGCTATCCTCTCCGCCGACAACTTCATCGATAGTTCATTCATTAACAGTTATATTATTAGCCGCCATCTTTGTTTATCAGTGTTACAGTGCAACGTAAAATGTATTTCATGCTAATTAATTCTTTTATTCTACTCGGATCTTCGGAACTCTGTTGGATGCTTAATTTATGTCCCTTGGGTTGGCCCAAGACCCTTAACCCACATGAGCCCGACATATTCCGAACTTCTTTTCAAACAATTATGTTCGGAAACCCGGAATATTATTTTAAATTTGGGTGACAACTTTTTGGATTTTCGGAAAATTTTTTAGCAACTTTTTGGCGTTCCAATGAGAACTTTCCAGGCATTTAACGAGCACAGTCGCGATCGGGAAAAGCCTACACTGGATACATTTCGCAAATTGGAATAGCTTGTTACGATTTCGACGGTATTTTTGTATTGATAAGATTCTCTCTGATTTCACAACGGAGTAGTCTAAGAACTAAACTTCCTGATATCCTAACAAGTTGACAACGTCTCATGAGCGAGATTTACTCAACACTTGGTTAATTTATTAATTTATCCGTAAAATATATTCTCTACAGGGAAGCACTTGCGCTGGTTTTTTCGTTCAAAAGTTGTCATCAAATCTATGGTGAACAAAGCGAGTGAAATCAAAAGAAATAGCTCAGTTGTTGGTAAACTTTCCGCACAGCCCCGTACTATTGTAAAACAAATCTGTTTTCCCAATGGCAATGTATTGTTTTAGTCATTGTTTTCTCTATTCAAGAACTGAATGCATAATGAAGTATGAGGCTGTGCGGAAATTTTACCAAACAAATAAATATGCAACGGAAACAATCGCATCTTTACAGCGAAGAGATCGTTTACCTCGGCACTCGAGGTTTAGAAGTTGGCCTGAGAATGGCGGAACCATCTAATGAGATGAAAGCTTTTCTCGCCATGATTAATTCAAATGACTAGCAGCAGTTTTAGTTGTCTTAATTTACACTTTCACTGACGGTCAACACCCCAGAGGCCTCTCAATCGACTCAGGAAACACACAAAGAAGGCCTGAAAGGCCTGGAACTGAACAACCGACAGAGGTAAGTGTTTTAATCCGAATTGTTTAAGACTCCATTCGCTTTTAATATGTTAAGATCGGCCGTTATGCGACTCCATTTTGAATCTCCTGAATTTCAAGTGAAACAGTCTGTAAACGACGCTTTTATTCTTTGGTATTCCTTCAATCCCTTGTTCACCGTAGAATGCTTCCTGAAATTTTTCCCTAGGAACTGAAGAAAATTTGTGACGTCTTCCTCTGCAACCTGAAAGTCAGGTTTTTTCTTTCAGTTACCTAGCTTATCAATCTTGCCATCATTGAGATAGTCTGCACTGTTAGACAAAGTGGCAAGCAGCAAATAACTTAAAAACTTGTTCAAATTTCACGCTAATTTCTCTTGCTTGAGAAAGGAGGGAAGGACACAGCTCCTCTGTTTTCGTCAGCACAGCACTGCATAGTTTAATGATGTTGTCTTCCTACCAAAAAAAACGCAACAATTCAGCATAGGAACTCATAGTCACCAAACAGGAAAACCACTTTCTTTTTACCTCTAGGAATGGGCAAAACAAAAATAAAAATTTAATTAATATTATGCTATTTCAAGTCTTTATTCTCCCGATTAACTAAAAGTGTGGTAAATTTTTTTTCACTTACGCCCAGGTTGCTTCTTTCAAGGTGTTTACTTGTTCTTTATATTTCATTAAGGCTGTCTTTAAATTAGCCCAACTATCTTTTGCATGAAACATGGCAAAGACTACTGTGTTGGTTTTAGAATTTGGATGCCTCAGGTTAGCAATCTGGAAGGCCATTTTAAATGACCTACCACCAGCATCTCCTCCAAGTTTTATGAGCACTTCATTTTCTGGGATTGCATTGTTCCATGTCAGCCTTCCATTCCTAAAATGATAACCAACTATAATTAGACTATAATTCACAGCAATAGGCAACAGAAAATGATAAGCAACTAGCACAAAATATGTGTGGAGTTCGACATTTTGTCTGGACTGGTTGATCAAATACCTCTTTGCAAATTGGGCACATATACTCATGCTTGATGTTTTCAACAAACTGTTCTGGGTAAAGAGGTTCTGATCCTCTAAAGCTTTGTAGATTCTTTACCTCCTCAGAGAATGAGAGTGAGGCTGGGTCAGGTTGGAAGCTTAAAGTGCCAGACATTCCTTCCACCATTTCCACTTGTTCCTTGGGTTCAGCTGAGTCCTCTCTGGGTTTTATTCCAGGTTTAGTCTTCTTCTTCCTACCAGGTTTCTGTTGATCCTTAAAGAAACTGCAGATCTTGCAGTTTCCAGTGCGTTTGTGTGGAGGCCACACATTGATTGCAAGGCGTGTGCCTCCTCTTTAAGCAAGCTTGTAACACTAGTGGCAGAACTTAGGAGGGCACATGTCAAGGTCATCTTTACGAACTTTGACACCAAAGGCTGTGGAAGTAATCCGTCTTATCAGCGCAAAGAAAACTGTTCTCATACTTATCTTTTGCCTTCTTCAATCGCTCTCCACAAATTCGGCAAATTTTTTCCAATATTTGTTGATGTTCAGAGAGACCAAAGTTAGCCATCTGAATGCACTAATCGAACCGAGTTGTAAACTAAACTTGGATTAAGCAACGCAGTTCTAAGTTGACTCAAGATACGTTCCGAAGTTCCTTTTTCCGGCCTTTTATTGCTTCAGAAGTGTACACCCTTAGGGCTTGTACCTTGTTTCAGGAAGGGGTGTCTATTTATCTCTCTCGATCGGTTCTTCAGGGGTGCGGGAATATTTGCATTCTTGTGTTATTGCGTGTAGTTCATTCCATTTGAAGGGAGAGGGAATATTCGCCAAAAACCATGTTAATCACGGCCAAGAAAAACGATTTAACTATCAGATCAAAGCACAAATGGTAACATATAATTGTAAGGTTTATTATCCGTGATTATGATTGAAATGTTGACCGAAAGAAACGTCTTGTCCGTGCTTTCACTATTTCAAGTAGCTCCTCGTGACAGATCGATGACATACACTTTTCGGGGAGGAAATCACACGCACGTAGTTCGACTTTCTTGCACATAACAGAAGGCCGTGGACATTTTATCAGTTTGTCATAAATCGTGTATTCTTTGTTTAGCCCATGGGTAAGCATGAGATCATTCAGAGGATAAATTCGCGTAGTTTAGGGGCATTAGTTCGAGGTCAAAGGGAGATGGACGCCATATTTATTATTTTCGGTGGTGATGTGTAATCGCAGATTACACCGCTCAAAACAATTCGGATTAAAACGTCATGGTAAAGAAACTGATGGCAAAGGAGAGACGTAAAGCCTGAGTTGTTCCTTTATTGAAAGAAAAATTCGAATCAATCAGAATCTTGCCTGAAAATAAGAAGACCTCAGAAAGGCGATGAGTCATCTCGCGTCAAAACAAGATGCCATTAAGCCGTCGCATAGTTAACTATCCCGCACACGCAATCTTCCCTCAGAGAACATTAACCAGGGAAGCAAAATACAATGTCTGCGCATAAGTTAGCTATTTCCTTGGGCTTTGCGCATATACTTTTTGCGACCTAGTTATCAGTGGGCTCTTTCTTGTTGAGCCGTTAAACGTACATTTTCAGCGGTTTCAAATTGAAAATGTCAATCTGACATGCGCGAACTAAATTTCCACTGGCGGGCGTTTTGAAACAGCCGTGGCTTGGCACATTAACTCCGCCCACGCTCCTTTAAATCGTGACGATGGCGGTCTGCTTCCTGACGCCTATTTACACCTCGTCAGAAAAAAAGGCCGCTAATTAGTGATCATATAAAAGGACCTCTTGTTGCAGCGTTTAGATCACCCCTGATGAAGGCACTAGACAGGAGTGTCGAAACGTTGGGTCTATGAATTGTAACTTCTTCGGTTACATTCATTAAATCTGCAAACCAGTGTAGCTTCAAACTATGTCTGAAGGCCTGGAATGTTACTGTCCACAGGGACCATTGTGAACGGCACGCATTTCAGTTTTGTGGTCTTTGGTTCATGATACACCCGATTTGTT